ATTATTTTATTTCCATTAGAATTGGTATTAAGTTGTTTGTTTGTAAACATTTATTTTAACTAATATTTTCCATATTGTTGTTGAATATCAACATAGAAAGGCATCCAACCAGAGCGGGGAGGAATAAAAGGATTCATACATTTAAATTGTTTATTATTTATATTTTGATTATTTATTTACTTGTTAGTGAACAAAATAATGTCGCAGTTATCATCTAACAGGTACTCGAACGTCCTTAGCCTTTCTGAAATCCTGAATGCACCATTGAGGAAAGAGTACGTGTCAGAATATAGGTGCTATAGAGCGTTTAAAAATGTCATGGTCGGTTTTGTTTCAAAAATTGAATGGTTGTTTATCTGTTTAAAAATAATATTTATAAGTGTACAAATAATATTCTATATGTTTAATTTTTTTTCGACAAACGTTAAAAAATGTCACGTCTTTACATATTTGGCTGGCCTAGTAAATCTTATGTATTCACTGGGATTGACCCACATATAGTTTATGAACTACCTTAAGGTTTGACAATATTTATAAACATCTGCGCATTCCACTGGCGCTCATATAATATTCTCGTCAGACTTTATAACTGTGTTCGAGGAAAATGCGTTCCAGTAAACTCGCGTTACTATAATATATACCCAAATAGGTACCTAGCATTATTGTTCTTTGTTGTCTTGGCCTGCAGTTTATATAGAGAAGAAAATTTGCTCTTTTTGATGCGGTTATTATTATTTCTGAACATACGCATTTGCATGATAAATCGATACAGCATTATCGCCGCTGAATACCATTACCACGCGTAATTTATGTCCTTTTATACAACTTACACGCAGTTGCATATAATAATATAAATATATATGTATATTTTTTTTTTCAAGACAAATGTAACTTTACAAGGACGCGTTATATACGCATCCATAATACCTCTATACAATGGTCTGCCGCGCACAACGTGGACTAATGAAAGATAATTTTTACAATAAAGCAAACGCACCTGTTGTGGTGCACAAAGATATATGCGATAGCGGTCGCCGTCAAGCGAAAAGAAGAATATACTCATGATTTTGTGTACTCGGAGCCGAGCGCGTTAAAGTTTAAAGAAAATAACCAATTACACAACAACAAAACGTTTTGTGCTGTAAACTAACAGACAGACAAGACGGTTCGAATCGCTCGACTAACAGAATTTAAAAACACTATAATGTATACAAACAAGCGAGCGCATTAACATTCAGAGTGTTTAAATGTGTACAGTTCGAGCAAAATGTTTTTGCACATATACTTTGGTGTGCAGACGAATCTAGACATTTAATGGAGTGATACTCCATTAAAATAATCTAACTAGGAACTATTTAACCACTTATTTTCCGAAGTCTTATAATTAATTAGTATTTCCCGCCAACAAAAGTAGCGAAATCAGAATGCTGAGATGAACTTGTGCAGTGACCGCTTAAGAACATTGGTAGGATAATTAGGAGTTTATTTATTGGAAGTAGATTAGGAGTTGAATCATTAGCAAGTAACGTGAAAGCGGAGTTTGAAGTAGTTGTTTTTTAGAACAGTTATAGAAAAAAAGGTGTAATCGCAATATTTTATTTTCACTGGCTGCTCGTTTGGCTGTTTAGTTTCCGTCTATAGTTTTTAATTGGTTTTCCTGTAAAATTGTACAAGAAATCCCAAAATGACTGGGACGGGTAACTCGTAGATGTGCTTTTGAAACCGCGGCTGATTCGTGTTAGTATTTTTGGACGTAAACCAACGCTGGTGGCAAGTTTTCGCGGATTTGGGTTTTCTTGAAAGTTATCTGGCGTGTGTTTGCGAGTACGGGAAGACCGCCGACAAGACGGATGGGGCTCGAAGGTTTGCGTGCCGGGTCGTCACCTTGTATAATGTAATGTGCGATTTAAATCTCAATACCGACGTGCAGTACACGGATGGCCGCCGGTCTGGCGCTGGCAAATGATAACAAATAGACGAGTCCGGTAGTGTTGTTGCCCCCATTCGGCGAGGGTTTTATTCGGACAAACGGCGCAATACAGTTAGGGTGAGAAAAAGGATGGCAAACGGCACATAATATACAGGCTATGCGGTTGCCCGGTGTGCTGTTGCGGTTTGTTCGTTTTGAGTAATGTCGTCCGGGTGCGCTTAAATCGGACAAATCACTTTGCCCTACCGATTACCCGACATTTGTCAGTCGGTCCACCCGCATTCCCTATCCTTTTCATCCACGTGTGTCTATGTCTATATATATATATATATATATACATGTATAATAATACTATATCTATCGTGTGTAGTCCAGACATACGCAGAAATATGAACGCTTTTATCTCAAGAAAAAAAAACACATTAGTGTGTTTTTATTGGACAACCGTTTTTATCTTACTTACTATTGACAAAACTACTTTATCCTGTCTCGCCCCGATGTATTTCAATCGAGAGGCCTCATCCTCCGAAAAAAAATAATATATAATATTTTGCAATCTCTAACATTTTAGCTTTCCGAATGGATATTAGGCAATAGCGATTATTCTAAAATAACATAATAATATTATGTATTATTTTTTTTTAATTCATAACGCGTGCACGACTTCCATTGTATACACTATTAGCACTATGACTGACGGGAATTTCGAATTATGATAATAAATCATCGTAATTGACCAGATAGGTGCGCTTGCAGTATTATTCCCATAGTATTTATTCAAACGGTATGGAGAAATCGGAATGGTCAGCGGTAGTATACACAAAACGAACGCATGTCTCATAAAAAAAAAATATAAGTCTATTTCACTCTTCAGCTCCATATGGATTCGTTTTTGTATAATAATAATCATTTTTGGCAAATTATTTGAATAATATTATTATATACACGGGAAAGAGAATAAATCATACTGAATAGAGGCTTTTATTCCGATTTCCCTTATATTAAGTTATGTAAAACGGATTAACGGTTGACGTGCTACTGAAAAATTGACTCGACGCGACGGTGTCCAGTGAGCAAAATCGTTATACCTACAATTTTTATTTTTTTTTAAACTTAATCGATTTAATAGAAAAATTAAACGATTTTTAAACATTTTAAATTATAACTTTATTTATAAAGAAAAAATATTATTTTACAAGGTTCACACATAAACAGGATAAATAGATAACCACAGTTTTAATTAAGTTATACAATTAGGCGATAAACGAAAATGGTTTTATTTATGACCGCTTGTATATAATTATTCAAAGTTAAAAGATTTGAACGTTTTAATATGTTTGAACTGTTAATGGTAATCTTTTTGGCATATTATTAAACCAGACTTATATCAAGAGTAGATGTTTTGGATATTTTCTTTACTTCTCAACAGTATTTTCATCTAATGTGGCATAGTTTTTTTTTTTAGCTTAACAGCACTTGTATCGTTATCTTCGTTAACCTTAATATAGATCAATTTGCTCAATAAATAATAGACCCCCCGTCGAAAGCCTTAGGGGTATAATTATGTTAGTTATTCATTCGTATTGGAGTTTGCAACAACAATATAATTGATTTTTATTGTAAATTTCCCTTGGCGAAATCATCAAGTCCTTTCGGCTCAGTGGGTCGACCTAGCTAGTATAGACATTGTTGACTTATTGTTGCTGGTATGAATTGATCACACCGGCAGTTGGCACTACATAGTAGGCTAGACCGGGTTAATTAAGTCGCTCTCGTAAATTGTTCTTAGGAAAGGGTTCGATTCAGTGTATACTAAATAATCCGATTATTTGGTCCGGCAGCTTTTCATATAACATTCAATGAATCCGCTGGCGACTAATTACCGCTAACTAACCGGTACTCGTGTATTCAGTAACTAAATGCTATAGCAAAATATATGTATACATTTATAATACATACATTATAATAACAGTGTGTAGGGCATTCTGTCAATTTGCTTATGTTAACTGTTTGTCGGGAAGAAAAAGAGGGTCCAGTGCGATACAGTAGTGATATTTTTGTCTCTTGTCACAGACGTCCAAGCTCTTGTAAAGGGACAAAAGAAGTATTTTTTTTTATGTATACAAATTATTTTACAGTAAACGTCAATTCGAACAACTGTCATAATAATTGATAATGTCCAGTCGTTTGGAAGACACTGTGGAGAGTTTTTTTCAACGTCGATTACATTGCAACGTACTTTGTTAAATCATTTTATTTTTTGTTTAAAAAAACATGCCAGACAGTTTTATCGTCTTGAAATAACATTATGATCGAGCGCGTCGTTGCTTTTCTTGTACAGTATTGCAGCGAAATGCGTACTTAATAGCGCATTCGTTGTTTTTAAATAACCAATAAATATTTGCAAAAATAATGGGGATAAGACAATAATAATTGTTGTACGCGATATTTAGATTTATCGTCTGTACCAATTCAGTCAGTCGGTATTTAAAAAAAAACAACAATATTAAAATGTACTATATTCGGTCGTTAATGTCGAATAAAAAACTGGATAGTAATTTTTAAATATTCCGCAAAACAAAAAAAGTATTATCTGTATATTAGCATTCCCGTCAAAAATCGATTGAGCAGTTGAAATAATATAGTAAATCTATTAATGCGAATTTAAAATCAACTAAAAAATGCTTGAATGCAATAGGTTTCGTTTGACCATACATCAAATATATTAGGGCTAAATATAACAACAAACGAGGCAAATGGAAATGAAATGTATTTCATGAAAATAATCACATTTGCAATTTATTGATTACACCATTACTATACTAACAATTCAAGGGTAGTTTTACAGCAATGCAACTCCACATACATTTTAAGTATACGTGGTGCAATCGGACATTAATAATATAATATGTTGATGAGCTATGAAGTTAAATAAAGCACACATATTAATAGGTTGGATGATTACAAACAATTTGTCTAAAATATACAACTCTGCTTACTTTAATTAATTTACGGTTCAACAATATACCTAAAACACGTCTTATTGACTCTAAATTATTTTTTGTTTCAGGTTCAGCGCTCATGCAAATCGTCGAAGTCTACAAAGAAATTCAATCCCAACAATTGAACATAGTAAGTGTTAACGAGCATATTAATATTGTTTCGCGTCGTCCGTCGATAAACGGAATAACGGTTTTTTTTTTGTCTTATAAATTTTCCATTGAAATTGAAATTTACCTAACGGATTTATATTCAATTTTTTGTAATTTATTCAGCTATTCGATTGAATTGCTAAACGAAAGTTATTAAAATATAAAATATGCACCGGCACAGCGACAGTAAACGATGATTTCCTCTTGGCTGTATAATATAAAGCTAATTTCACAACGCAGACAGATAAATACTACCGTAGGCTATATAATGTATTATATTAAACAATATTATGGTATTCAATGGTGTCGCTATATTATCTACAATTTGTCGAACAACCGAGAGTTAGTTGCCGAGAGGAGGTATTGAAAAATTTTATATTCTCTAACAATTCATGTACTATAGACCAAATAAATTGCGCAGCTAACTTTCAATGTAGAAAAGTTATTTAAAAAAAAAAAAAAATCATACGAGATATTATAATAAAATAACAAAGCACAACGTCATTTTTTATTAAAATCAATCAACCAAACCGTAAATGCTTAATTATGTGACATGTGTTTTTAACTGTTAAGTTTTGATAAATCATTCTAATGCCGTCAAGTTAAACACATTAAATATTACAATGCATTAAGCGCGTCTAAGCAACGGTGTGCTTACTGTGTATAAGTTAGGTATCGTAACGCGAAGGAATTTAAATTACCTACCCAGACAATAATATGATGATGATGATAATATTATTACTGTATACATTCACCTCAGGCAATGTACAGTCAACAAACAGAGATAGTTTCGACCCAAGTGGTAAGGCAAATTATTGTAGCCCAGCATTGGCTTCCGGGGATTTCTCCCCTCCTGCAATCGCTTCAGTCAAACCGATCTATGATCATACAAACCACCACCCTCTTGCTCTTTTATATTATATATAGCGGTAATTTACATGATAATATCTCAACAATAGCTGTCTTACCGTTATTACTGTGAGCGTTAATTATTATTTTGAAATATCGAAGAATCGCGTCTCGTATTAAGTATTAATAACGACCGATGTGACGTGGAAATAAAAAAAAAGCTTTAAAAAGTTTTAAAAAAGGCGTGAAATATTTATTTAAACGGTTGAGTTAACAGAGAAAATTTCGCGCAATATAATTTCAAGTGTAGGTACAACACAAAAATAAAATCCCGATCTGCTGTAACGTCTTAACAAACCAATTATACCGCTTGACGTAATCCGTTCAGTTAACTTACCTATTAAATTATAATTGTATGTCTGTTTTGACTTTATAAGTTGTTTATTATATTATGTAACGGTAGAATCGTTATAAAAAAAAAAACAAAAAAGAAACAAAACACAACGAATTGTCCTCTCATATTCTTATATTTTCAAGACTAGGTTGAATATAATTTCTTGAAAATTAATTAAAATTTGTACACGTTACGCTTGTCTTTTGTGTACTTACAAGCAATTGAAGGGCTTGGAGCAACAACCTGACAAGTCCATTTCGATCAAAATGTAATATTTCGTAGAAAAATGTCTATGCAAAAATTATTTTAAAGTTATCTTTATTGGTGCCACAAGAAAGCAGTAAAGTCGGACTACTACTTACAGAGATATTGCAAAACGTGGGTTATCCGCCTATTGTAGTATAATTTAAAAAAGTTGATTCATCTTGTTGATCCAAGCCCTTCAGTTATTCATTTTATATGTATATACTCGACATTATATAGCGACTATAAAATTGAAGTTCATTTTGAGTTTACACCTCTACAGTATAACCCATTAGCCTTTGAAGACTATAATTTATAATAACGAGAATAGTTTATATTTGAAATTAATGTACTACGACGGTACATATAATGTCATTGTCGAGGTACATACTGTCGTCTCGTGATAAAAACGGCATAATGTATAAAACAGCACTGTAATTGTATTATGTTGTCAACCCGAAAGTTTTCCAATTTAAAACGCTTATAAAAGCTACACGCGGGCTTTTGAAAATAATCTTTTTGAAGAAAATTCGTTAACAAAACGCCGTTAAAATTGTTTTAGAACAGGTTTTCCTTTTCAATATACTGTGATCAATTTCGTACAACAGTAGTTTAACCAATTTTCAAATTGTTCGAATATTGATCCACTGTTGTGCATTTAATGTTTAAATTCAGTTTTTTGCTATAACAGCATTTCTGATGAGTATTTTCTCTTTCTAACGCGGTATTTCAGACGATCCCGGTATGGTGCTGCAAAGGCGTTATAATATGATCACGCGGCCCCTTGTGGTATTGGCTAGAAACTTTGTATTGGTGGAAAAAAGCAAACTTTCTACATAATATATGTTTTTTCTATAGATTTCGGTTATTTTTTGTTCAAAGACTTCGGTGACACCGTTGTTGCGCACAGCTCTTTGTTCGGTTCCACTACTTATAGCATTGGAGGTGGAGAAAATGGCTGAAGAAAAGTTTTTGGAAGCAATGCGATACACGTTTGCCATTATTATTTTTTTTTTAATAATACATTTATCAGACCATATATATATAGCCGACGGTTACGAGATGAGGAAAAACATTCTCTGGTAACAGATTGAGACTTACGGTCGGATTGGCCGAAACTTTTTTCTAACCACCCTCGCCCGCAAATCCTTGGACTCTCAATTTCGAATTATACAATTTATATACAGTCTAGTTTTAAGGCTTATGCCCTTTGTGAGTGTGTGGGTCTGTTTTTTCAATGGCATCAGGTTTGCCATCCGTCAGTCGCTCTTGTTGTCTGGGATCATATTATTACGTCGAGATATTTTAGGCGGCGCTCCGAGTAGGCAATTTCACTACACGCTTGCATGACGCCTACTTTCTGACACAACTGTAACAGTACTACTACCCAATAAAATACTTAATAGCATGTATGATTTAAAAAACGCATACTCCAAACATAACTTGTTTAGATAAAAAAAAAATTTAACAAGATTGATTGTTCTATAAATATAATATGCCGGTAATTGGCACAAATGGACAAAAAAGTTATAGGTAAATACATAGTTTGAAGCAGAAAAAAGGGAATAAGAAGGACAATGTGTATTCGGGATGTCAAGATAGAATAATTATTAAATCAAATATAATGACTGGAGATAGACTGTTTAATCTTCGTCTAAAAGCATTATGTTTACACGATATAACAGCTATAATGTCATGTAATCAAAGGTCATTAAAATAACGGAGACATAGGTAATGTGGACGTTTTGTCGGGTTAAGATGCAGTGACACAAACAGAAAGTCATGGACGCCTTAAATGTCTCGTTTTCTACAAGAAATGACAGGAATATTATTAAATAAGACACTAACAAATTTGGTAAAATTGCGAACATGTCTATGTTAAGTACTTAAAATATATTATTGGTCGTGAGAGTGCAAAATAAACACAAGCAGACATTTTTGTTAAAAATCGTTTAACGTTATTCCACGTCAATGTCTAAGATTATAGACCCAAGAAAAAAAAATCAAACGCTTCTTGTCCTATCTAAGTGTCAACATCCATCCGAGTCTGACGTTTAACTATTTTTAACCTTTCGAATTATAATTGTTAAAATTTGCCACCTTTACAAAAAAATAATTATCGCCTCAGAAACAGATAAGGGTTTTAATCGAAATAAAGTAAATGAAGAAGTGAGAACTAAAAGATTAGGAGTGATTGTAATAAAATTTGTACGAAAAATGGAAATTCAACTTTTGATGTGTTCTTAAATGTTAATAAACAGATATACTTTTTTAAATAGAAATACTTTTTTCAAAATCTCTAAAAACTGATAAAATTATGATCACTATTTCGTCACCATTAGGCTGTCGTCAATTCTGTTATACTTTATTACCCTATTCAGTAATTAAAAAAAAAAAACAGTATGATTAACGTTTGATTTTCGTTTTTTTTTTTTTAGCTAAAAGCGTTTTACGTCGATTTGCTGGTACCGCTCGAAACGAATCTGGAAAAGGATACCAAAGTGGTTCAGGTAATATTTTATATATATATGATTATTGGTTGTGTGGGATTATTTACAATGGGTTCACGTGGTTTTGGTTATTCGCCATAAGTCTTTATGATTGCATGTATTATTATTATTTTTCACATTACAACATTTAACGGACAGCGTTATAAGAACATGAGGAGGGTACGAGGGTGGTAAAACCCGCTTGTCCGAATCCATACACAATAACCGAATACATTATAATACTATTTTTGCGAACGACTTTATTATTGTCGGTCGGTCGGTCCCGTGTGTAAACCGTCCCTATCCAATAAATAATCTGTTTGACCCTTTTTGGTCACAGCTCTACCGGTCCTATACTGATTAACCCCACGAGTTTCGGACACGGATCTGATAAAATTTACAAAAACGAAAATTTAATAACGATTTACCTTTTTTGTTTTTTTTTTTAACAGTCCGAACAAAAGCGATTCCTGCAACAACACAAACAGAGATCCGAGAGCTACAGCAAAGCGGCTTCGGCCATGAAAAAGTGTCGCAAAAAGCACAAAGTAGGCCCCAAAGCAGGATTGGCGATGGACAAAGAAATCAAAGTGAGCACTATACTCGTGTTTTATCATAAATTATAAAGTCAATATTATACTATTAAAACCCCTACGCACTGTTTTGCCAGTTAAAAGTGCATAGGCAGTATAACGTTGGTTTTTTACTTAAAAAATGTATATTTAATAAACTATACGAGCCGAGGAGGAGTGCAATCGGAACTAACATATTTCAAACCGAAATGACATTGCGTCTGACCGAACAACTCCGAGACAATAATAATAAAATAATAATAAAAAACAAAAACCAGAGGTCTCCTCTACATCGTTGATACTTGTATATGCGGGAGGGAGGTAGGTTTTTAATTTACATTTAGGACTTAAAAACGGTCATGCCCAGACGCATTGGCGTGGTTCGACTATGATTATTCAAATGTTTTATTGTCGAGTTTTTTATTTTTTATTTGTTTGGCACCATGAAGCCCAAATGTGTCGAGAGATAAAAATTATTGCCAGTCCATTGAAGACGCTCATTGTTCGTAAAGTATACACTTGGTTTTATGTGTATAACACACGAGGGGCGATCCGTTATAACAATATAACCAGGCGTAAACGTGCGAAATGCTTTGTTTGTTGTGGATTTACACAAACAAAACAAAATCAAATATCGTTCGCTGCTCAACCCGGCCTATGGTAGTTTTGCGTGACGTTTGCTAAAGTTGTCTTTCGGCGGTTAAAGTTTAATATTACCAAAATATGTAATTGTCGTTAATTTTTTTCAGACCATGCAAGTTTTAGAAGAGGAAAAATCTAAATTGGACAACTTCTGCGAACAGAGTTTGAAGAACGTAAGTATGCCGCCCCGTTTTCTCTTGGCTGATCTCTATATACATTATCTCTGTGATTTTTGTCGCACTGGATTTGTCAACGTTGAAACGTTTCCTTATGACAGGCGATGACTCAGGAGAGACGCAGGTACGGATTCGTGCTGGAACGACAGTGTTCGTTGGTGAAACACTGTCTGGCCTATCACACCAACAGCCAGACAATGTACGACGAACACTTGGGCGACTGGTTGGACGTGGCCAAGTCCAGAGAGAGACTTCCGGAAGCCGTGGAGTCCATGTTTGCAGCGAAACTTCGGGTATGCATAATATAAGAAAAACGACAATGCAATCCAACAAGATGCACCATGTGTGTTTTTTGCGAATTTCAGCAAGTAAGCTTCTGGTTGGACGACGACAACGTTGGTCCGCAGAGGATCGACGACGATCGGACTTCGCTGACGTCACAATTGAGAAAAACGAAATCGATGGACGCTTCTTGCTTGGACGTCCGTGCCATGATGGATATCTCAAGTCCAGTGTTGAATTACCCGTTGTCCAGAGCAAAGTCAGATTTCAATTTAAACGCTTCATCGCAGTCTCTGAACAGAGGTACATTGCATATTTTTTTAAAGATGACGTACAAATTATTTATAATAACGAGTCATCAGACTTTGATGGCATGTCTGCGGTTAACTCTATGTTACCGATGGTCTCGTTGTTCGAATCATTTGACCGATCCATTTTCAACTGCTCCTATTTAATTCATTATTCAAATGTAAACAGCGACAAAAGTGCATTAGTTTGGGATACAATGCCGATTCGTTGGACTAATTAAAGTTGTTGGTTAATTATACGTTTATAAAGTCAATTTACCGCATTATCTTGTTAACAAAAACACAACAAGTTTTATTTTTGCTGTTATTTGTATCTCACGTGTGCTCATGGTATTTTTTCTATAGTTGAAAACGGCCCTAGCCCCAAAAATAGCGGATCCAGACCGAAATCTATGGCGATTGTGGATAACGGATGGGAATCGCAAGGCCCGCAACTCGTGCAAGCCATACACGCTTATTTGTCCAGCGGCGACAATCAATTGAGCTTCCACGAAGGAGACACTATTGCGGTGACAGGTCAGTGTTTAAGTTGTAAATTTGTCTTCGACTTCAGCTATTAACCCAACCACGTCGTATGTTTTAGGCGAACGCACCAAAGGATGGCAGTATGGAGAGAATTTGCGCACTCAATGCAGCGGTTGGTTCCCGTTGGCGTACACCGAGCCCGTATTGGACGAATCTGTTTTTTCGTAAGTATACATTTTTACTTAATTTTCAAGCTCACCCCAAACGTATGTAGTAAAAGTCTAAAAAATCATAATAAGATGAGTTTTGCATGTGTTATTGCCAGAATTCACAAAACGTACGATTTCGCTGTTGAACTGATCTGCTCGTTTGACGTGTATTTATTTTCTAACAGTATTTTTTTTTTTATTATTTCCGTACAGAGATTCGCCATCATCTTACAGGCGTAAGGATTCTGTGGGACAATCAATCATTTCCAGCCACAACAGAAGCGAATCCGCTACGGTCGGCAAACAAAACCGTTTTCAATCGGCCACTCTAACAAGATTTGGCGATTCTCTACCTCACCGAAATCTATATCCAGTAAGTTACTTTCCAACTCTTGCCGTATTGATAGACCGACTTGGATAGGTCCGCACGAATATTGTTATCTCGTAAGCGATTATCTCTCTTATTTAATAATACTCGAATAGAGTAACTCTCACGTTCTAATACTCGAACATGACTAATACCTTCTCTTTTGACTTTCGTCACACGTATTACGACCGTGAGTTCTATAATGTAATTTCGTTTAATCGCACAATTTATTGTGTTAGACAAATTGTCTGCATCATTAAGTACACTATTTTTTATTTCGTAATCCAGATAAATCTCGGAACACTTCAATTTACTTTCACTTGATTTTCAAACATTGTTCAACATTTTTTTTGGTCGATCATCCAAAGTGGAAATAATATAATACGAATAAGAAAGGCCGTGCTGTTCGTTAATGATTTGGGTTATTTCACTTAATGCACTAGTTATGTCGTCGATTATTCTACGTATTTAATATTAGTATTATCTTCTTGCACAGTAAAATGCTAAAAAAAACTCGTACTTTGTGCTTCGAGTGTTGTTCTTAACAAAATATTGAAACCTAGATGTCACATAACGTGGGTTTTTTTATTCTTTATTTGTGAAAACTAGAAACTTATGCTTTGGCCGGATCTTCACTCACCGAATTTGTAGGTTAGGGTCTAAGATGAAATTTTTTTTGTACAAACCGATTAACCAAATTTTTTTCTAGGCCCGGTTGAGAGGAGACGGGAGAGCTAACGGTTATGGAAACCAAGTACCCCCGCCTTCTGTGCCTGCTCCAGTGGCACCTCGCCAATACGGTGGTCACGTTCCACCCCCAGCTGCATTCTTCCCTCCACCACCACAGACATTGCCGCCGCCTCCAGGTAAATCCGGCCACGGTGTGAACGAAAAACGTCCCAATGTCATCGGCGGCGCTGGAAACGGTGTTCATCATCAACACGGTAATGCTAGCTTACACAGCAGCAACGACAGCGGTTTTAGTAACGACCCACCGCCTGCTCCCGAAATCGACTATTCTGACGATGAAAACACAAGGTAAACTTAAATAAAACAATATTTTATAATCGTCATTAGCTTGTACTTTTGCATATATTTCAAGAGGTGATAGTTTTAAACAGTTTCAATATGTAATAAGAGCTTCGTTTGGCGTTCATGGTTGGTGGCTTTTTCATAAGTATTACTATGGTGTACGAGTAGCTTTTGTAATACAGTAGGCAAAAAAGTTGCTTTTAATCTTAAATGCATTTAACTCCTTTGAACAGGAGAAGTACTAGCTAACTAACCTAACAATTATTCAGAACAAATAAGGGATTGCCAGTATTTATGCGTTTGAACGTGGTTTTCGTTTGACGGAAAAATGCTAAATAAATAAAATTAACAAAATGCGATAAGTGGTGAAATAAAATTAGGACGGCATGCTTTAAAATTCATAGACGTCTGGCTATGTATAGGTGAAGCACAAACAAAGTGCAAATACTATATATTAATAGAGCTAAGCAATGGTGTCAGATATACCTAATTTTAATATAATATACATTGCATTGTATGCGCTTATCGAGGTGACGGAATGGTGGCAAACGATTGGCTCATATTTTATATTACACCAATGTTATTCGATTGTGTTTTGACCAGACCGAAAGAGATCACGAAAGAAACCAAAATGAAGTTAGCCGAGTCTATGAAATCCAACGGGTCTATGGCGGGCACTCTGAAGTCTTCTTACAACAACAGCGGTGCCATGGGTTCCCGACGAAACACGGGCCCGTCGATGCGGCAGAGTTCCAGCGTCGGACACTTGTCGGCTTTTGACGGTTACCCCAGATCCTTGTCCGGGGGTCGTAGTAACGGGGCGGACAATGGCGCGTTCCAAGACAAAAAGATCAAACGCACGAAATCCATGTGGAAGTTCAAGAAATCTGGAGACGACGTGCTGATGGGCATGTCAATGTGGAAGCACAGGTCTCTGGTGGACGTGAACGCTGCCGAGGCCGAAGAGCTGAAAAAGCAACAGCAACAGCAGCAGCAGCAGCAGCAGCTGCAAACAGGTATAAAAAACGGCGGTGGCACTCCGTTGACCAACAAGAAATTCGCCATAACAAGAGAGATCGACATCGGCGGTAGTAGCAACGGTTTCGGTAATAACAACAACGACGACGACGACAATCAAACGATAATGAACGGTTCGTCGACCGTCTTGAGGAGGTCTTACGGTGGCGGAGACGAAGACAGACACAACCACCATCAACACCAACAACCACACCATCGTCTCCAACACCGTCCGGCGGGTCACGATCACAGGCGTAGCGCATCGGACGATGACGAACCCTTGGACAACGGGTCGTCCAGTGCCGGCGAAGATTCCGAATCTTGCATTGTGGTCGACGATCACCTGAAGAACTCGCCGTCCAGGGCGTCGGCCCCGCAGAGTCTTCTCCCCAGGACCCGTTTGATCAAACAGCAATCGCAACAGCATCAGCAGCCCCATGGCATCGTAAACGGCAAAATGACCATGCAAATACCTACGACGGGTGGCGCAGTCGACGACGGATATCAAGATTCGGACGTGGACGCGCGGTTCGAGAGTTCGAAATTGCAAACGTTCAAGTACATCAACAACAGCACCCACGCCGGTACAGACAGCTGGTACGACTCGTGGGGCGAAAAGCGCAAGAAGTAGTTCAAGTTAGAACTTAACTCACGAGGTAAATGCGCGATATCGGCGCTTAAGTATTGCGTGGACGACGGTAGCGAAATTTTTTCGGATCGCCTTCGTAAATTTCTCCATTTTCACGTTCCATTTTTTTGGGGGGGGGGAGAGAATATGGGGATGGAGTGGTTCAAAACGGCTGTTCTAAAACTTTAAGAAAAACAATCAACAAACAAGTAAAAAACAAATGTGTACATTACTGCTTAGTAGAAAATTAGACAGTACAAACAACTTGGCAACCATCATCCACCATCAATATCAGTTACCACTAATAATAACAAAATCACATAAGTAACGCTATAATATTATTCATGACTCACGGGTAGACACTAGAATCTAAATACTTGCATCTACCTAATCTAATATTATGTATTCGTTGTGCGGATTGTGCGGGAATATCAACAAACAACAATTCGCTTGAAAATCACTTAAATATTAAACCCTTCAGCCGTTAAAAATTAAAGCCAACAGCGAAGTAGGTATTTCACGAGGCGTTAAACTTTGAAATTTCTCTTTTTGGTTTGTTTTAAATTCTTTATTCAGGTGAGTTACGCCATTGGGCATTGGAAATATGTATAGTAGCTAATTGAATATAAATGATAGCTTTAAGTGATTGACAATTTAGGTGTATTTTAATTTTGAGTAGATAATTTTTGGTTTTCTGCTTATCGTCTTTCAAGTCATGACGTGACGATAAAAACTCTTGTAATGCGTTTGAATTAAATCACGTTACGACCCGGTTTACATTTTCCCTGGCCAAATTGTATAACTCATGCATGGCCTAAACCCCATGTAGGTACGCGATGAATGTATCTTATTGTTAGAAAAAACATTTGTTATCGTCTCTTTGAGTTATCGGGTCATGTCATAAATTTGTTCTGGGGCGTGGGGAAATTGAAAAAAAAAAGAACTCCTTGGTAATTTCGTTAAAGTACAGGCGAAAACGGAAGTTAATCAAGGCAACCCCAGTGCACGTTTTTATTACTGTGAACGAGACCCCTCACGTCCACGATGCTTTCATTTTGAAACTTTGCCGAGCCTTAATTTACTACCATGCTTTAAAAACATTATAAAAACAGCATCTCGCGGTTTTTACTTTATTTGCATTTTTTATACTTTCAATATATTGTCCACCTTTTTTCGATTCAATTTTTCTACAGTCTCGAATGCTTTACGCTGAAAAAAAAAATCATATATATTTTTTTTAATCTATGATAATCTACAAACCGAGACGAGACGAAAGACAGAGTTCACTTATGAATGAGAAAATAAACTTTGAGTTCGAGACAGACAAGACAGAGGAAATCCGCACGTATATACTTAAGAACTATAAAACTTAAATTATTAATTTTAACTTATGTAAAACCCAAAAGAAGTGTTAATAAGTTGGAAAACTTTTCAGTGTCATCTTTCATTGGCGGAGATGCTAAGCTGGAAAAATATTATAGGAAATATATTAAAAACAATGCAGTTTTGAATTGCTCAAATTGTAGAGGTGGGGACACTACTAGGACATCATAAAATTTCAACTCGGAGACACATACCCACCTAGCATCGCTCCTGAAATCATTTTAATAAAAATGATTATCAGGAAATCACAGAGGTATCGCATGGTCTTACTTCGAGCATGTAGCATGCAATTGATGCGGTAATAAGAGGGAGTTACTGTGCAAATAGGCATAATATTATTGTGATATTAATATCTTGTACGGTATAAGAAGGTACCCCAGAAGGTATCTGAAATATATTTTTTTATATAAACACATTATTACAAGATGTACTTACTGATCAAGTTCTCGAATCTTCGAGCGCGGCCTTTTCTGGGCCGATGTGCGCGCCCTAATGTGTTACAGTTGTTATTTAACATTTGAGTAATTTAATATACAGTGTATAATTAATTGTTAACGTAACAATAATACTATGTTTAACTAATACTTCCAGGTCGAACGTGTTCGCTACAATCAAATTACGCAAAACCAGCACCAACGATCGGTCGGCTCCGAAAATACTACAATAATTTTTTGCAAAACTTGAAAAAAATTACATTATATAATATTAGCATATATGTAGTACTATAATTATTAACCTTTTTTGTTTAAGAAAATAAAACGGATAATATATTATTGTTTTATTAATAATAATTATCTAGACACACGCTGTACATAGGTACATAATAATATTATCGTTTTACAGGCCGAATTTTGCTCAATTAATAATATTTTGTCTTAGCAAAACCGCCAAAGTATTTTTTTTTAAGCATCTCCTAAGGTGGTAAACAATTTCTTTTGGCGCGGTTTTAATCGTTTACGATGACAATTCGAAGTATTATTATAATAGAATTATCATCCCAAGTTATTCTAGATTGATTTATATGTTATATTTTTAAACGAATTAACCGTTAGGCAAATATTATTACGTGCACATATTATTATCTTATTTAGTTATAACCAAAACATATATAATTTTCTTTTTCATATTATGTCATTGGAATCCGTCCTCTTTTATGTATGTTGGATTTGTATGTAGGTACACCTCCAATAATATATTTAAAATAATTATAGTTATTAATAATAATAAATAAACATTACTATTACGTACGACAATGTAATTCCATTCAATATCAGTGCAATAAAAAATTATACCCGTTTACCGATTCGAGTAAGGTGTTATTCGATATTTACTTATTGTAAAGTATATTTTAATGGACATTTAAATGTATGTATATAACAATTTTAAGTACTCTTAAGTGTAAAATCTAATGAATTTAACAATTACATTCCCAATCAAATAGTGCATTGTTTGACGATAATACCAATGTAATATACAAAAATTATTTGTACAATAATTACAAACAACGACAAAAATTTAAGCATAAACACGATTTGGTCATTCAAGTTGATCAGTCTAGAGTTTTTTTGCACCATAATAATTATTATAAAATTAATTTTAAGTTAAAAAACTATGTATACAAGTTATTCTATCGTTAAAAATGTATTATTCTTATACAGCTTCTTTTTTAGCTAATATTAAATGTTCTAATTAAATTAAAAATGGAATTAATTTGCTGTAATTCTTTTCATTTACATTAGTTTTATATTACTAATATAATAGTTTTAACAATAATATTATTAAAATATAATAAATGTTACCCGAAATTATATTTTGGTATTAATCATAAAAAAAAAAATGTAATCTATAAATTATTATACTCAAATTATTAGTTTTTCGTACTTATAAATTCATCTATTTATACTTTATTGATATACTTATTATTTTTTTTTGTTAATCTTGTTTTTGTAAATTTATGGTATGTGGGAAATTTTTATTATAAAACGATGTTCGGACCCATTTACGTATATAGTTCAATAAAAACTTATTTCACAAGTCAGAGTGTTTGCCAAATTTTCAAGTATGGACAAATTTGAACAAACCTCCTCAAATTATTAAATTTAATCATACGAAAAGATATCAGTCAGTTTTTATTGAAATTATATACACTATTTGGGTTGCGGTCTTCGTGTTACATATTTTTTAAAGGAATATATTGTTATAATATGTATAATTAAAATTAATGAAAAATACATAAATATTTTATTTATGAATAAACCGTTTTCATTTATTGACAAAAAAAAAAACAACAAATTATCGGCAATGAAAATATTCAATATTTTATCGTAATGACTACAATACAAAAAACAAAATAATAAAAATAACTTAGAAATGAAAAATATTATAACAACAATATTTATAATCAGTGTTGGCTCAAAGTCAATTTAAATTTCCACATTTCATTTTTAACATTTGATTGTTAATTATTTATAAAATATGAAAAATATTCTATTTTTATTGTTGATCAAAAATGAAATCACTAAAATATGATACAACATTAGGTTACTTTTTCTTCGCTAGCACTTCATCAAAATGCATTGAGTACACGGATCTCAGTATAGAAAATACTTTTTGATTTTTATAAGGATGACCAGTGAGTGGATCAACATACCTAGCATATTCTCCGGTGAATACACACTTTCTTGGCGATTTAGGGGGTATTGCTACTTTTTTTGGAAATAAACGTTTTGCTTCTTCGTAATCGTTAATTGTCAACGTAGTACGTTCGAAAACGTCTCGACTTTCCCGTTTGTCTTCTTGATCATCAGTCTCAATATTTACGGTATCTTCATCTCCGCCAGCAAATGGTACGGATTTACTGTGGAACTTTATTGTGCCTGTATAGAATACACGGTGCTTGACACGAGTTTGTTTTTTTGCCAATTCTAATTTTTCGAATTTTTCTAGTGATTTTAAATTTTCCAATTCGGTTTCTTTTGCCTCTTCCAATAGTTTTTGTTGAGAAGGCATTTCTTCCGGGGGCATAGGCTTGATACGTTTAATTTTGCGACGACGTTCTTTAATGCGCTCAATTGTTTCTTGAGATTTAACGGCCGTAGATTGTCTAATAGATTTACGTTCATACGAGGTTTCAGCGACTTTCTCTGTTCTGGATCGTTTCCTTTTAGGTGTTTCTTTTTGCTGAACAGGCTTTGGGGCTTTTGGTTCTTGATATCTGCAAAATGTATTTAGATAATTAAAAAAATGTATCATAACTCAGTTAAACTAAAAAACACTTTTTTTAACATAATAATTCTTGCTTATAATTTGGATACATTGTTTTTATTATAGATAAATGTATGATAAAATATCTAAATGGTAATTTCCATAATATGTGAGATGATTCTCAAATTTCAAACTGCAATAATTTGGCCATTTTTTTTTAGTTACAAAGACCAGGTATTAAATTGTTAAAAACTAACCAAGATTCAGAAAATAGCACTAACTTAATTTTGGAAAAAGCCGACAAGGGTTTTCCTTTTCACTTTCCATATCACATAAATGTTTGCCGAGAACTTTTGATCAAATATCACTAATGGACCTTAATTATTTATGCGACTCATTTTCTTTTGTGGCAAAGTTGTATTATTTATTATGTAAAATTATAAATGAATAAACCAAATCAGAAAATATAAAATCACTAAAAATAATTTTATAATATTGTTTCGCAACAGAAACAAAATACATGTATTTGTTTAGTTCTACTAAGAAACTGCATGTAATGCACAAGAAAACATTTTTTTATACAAATATTTTTTTTCACTTCACTATTACAAAAAAAAAGTCATTTAAATAATGCCCAGGTTTTTCCTAATTGGGAGTAGAAATAAAGAATTGTTTTGTAAAAAAAGTAGAAAAGAAGATCGACAAAATCACATTTTAGGAAAGCATCGTGACAGTGGCACAACCAAGGGGGGTCTTCGGGTCCAGACCCCCCTTGAGTATTTTTTTAGGTGGAAAGTTGGGTAAGGTAATTTTAGTTACTGTCTAATTATATTTTAAAGTAAACAATATTTATTCATTTTGGCAATATAATAATATAATAATTTTGTTTTGGTCTGCTTTGTGTAACAGGCTAGGAACCACTCAGACACACATATATATATAACCTTTAGTTCATTTATATGCGTTAATAATTTCAGAAAACATAGGAATTTTAACTTTAATATTGACCTGTTTTGGTTTTTTTTTGGTTTTTCTTCTTCTTCGTTATCAGATATGACTTCATCGTTTTCATCAATACTAAAATCGGAATCAACTTCATCTGGTACGTCTTCATCTACAAAATGAAAATCGTTGTCTTGTTCTTCTTCATTGAAACCGCCATAGGTAGTCTTATAGAAGTCGTCCTCTTCTTCTTCATCTAGCAAACGTGCTAGTTTGTTTCCAGCATTAGCACGACGTTCCCTGGTCGCAGCCATTATCTGCAAACCTGTAGGTTATAATAATTTGCTTTGAAATTCGTTCACAATAAAATAATATTAAATTAAATTTTTAATCATTTTTGTGTGTCTACTTGTTATAACAATTGCTGCTAAACAATATTCCTGAAATGGTTGTTTAGTATTTAAAATACACTATACTTTATTATTGTGCTAGTTATAAATATAGCAACTAATTGTATGGTTTTGTATTATAGAACACAATACAAATAAGTATTGTGAAAAAACTATCAAAAGTGACTAAAGTAACTAACAAAAGTGTACAAATTAATACACAAACACGAAACACATTCAATCACAGAACACCGCTGCAGCTGTAAAATGTGAACTGGATAATAGCCAAACAATACACTCTGTTATCACAAACAGCGGCTGGTTAAAATGATAATGATGGTTTTTTATTATAGGGGTACTCAAAATATCCTAAAATGTTTGTTTATTCTTAAATATTTTGAGTACCCCTACGATAACATTACGGTTATTTTTCCCGGGGTTTTTTTATGCCGTTTAAAAACGCAGATAAAGAAATTTCAAATGAGCATATTTAGCAGCCTAAATTGAGAAGGTTAAGGGGTCGATGACTTAGAGTACGATGACTGGAGTAGATAACGCAAATTCTATGTACTGGTGGATTGTAAACTTTATCTAAACGAGTGCAGAAAAACTATACCGTGAATTTCGACAGTGTCACAAAAGGGTATTCTGTTATCATAAACTGACATTTAACTTTAATCTGACATTTTTAACAAAGTTTTAATTTTAAATTACACCCAATTCAGCTGGATAAAAACAAATTGTTTACTAGCATTGTTCATATGTGTGGTACCTACATTAGCATTTAGATTCCTTGGTCATCAGTGATAGTTATTCGGTGTCCTATTTTTTAACTCATTCATATGCTTAAGATTAATTTTTAAAGGTGAAAAACAAAAAGCGTTTACTGTTTTGAAAGTTTCATTTAGTACACATTATAAAATTGATTGTATAAATATTTTCTGTAAAGTACTATAAGCTACATAAATAGGTTAAATTATTACTATGTATGTAGTACGGTTTAGGTAATCGACCTAAAAATTATACCAATTGTTTACAATTCATGAGTATTATCCAAACGTTCTAGTGTTAGTTTTAGGCAAAAAAATATGGTATAGTAGCACACCTATAGATACAATTTTAAACTGATAAATGTATTGTGTTAATTAGCTGGAAAAATACTTTCTTCATTTCGAATAACGTATTACAATGACATACCTCATCACAATATTATTTAACTAAAAACATTTTAGAATAATACAATGTATAATACAAATTTAAAAAAAAACTTACGTATTATAACAATATTGTATGATTATTTTCAACAGTGTTGCGCAGAAAAAGAAATGTGATTCAGTTCATCAGTTATTATGTTTATTCATTAAACATTAGTATCGATTAATATGGTATTTGTTCATACTAATGAGACGACTTAAAAAAAAAATGTGTTATTCTACTTACTAATTATAATTTTAACTAAGCTTACTATTTTCATTTGTATGAATATTTATGAATAGCGTGTACTATATAGGAAGTGTAAGTGTTTTTGTGATTTGAAATTACCCACTGTTTAGCACCTTCTATTGGTTTTTTAAAATTTTTATTCGATTCGTGTTTTGTATTTTATACATTAATTACCGTGCCGAACGCACACTGGAGCATTAGTAATAATTTTATTTTCTTCGTTTACCTACGGTTGGAAAGAACAGGAAACATTTTAGTTTGTGAACACCATTAGTGCGGCGGTACAAAACAATGTGCCATATATTTTGTGTTGCACGTCCATACATAGTTTAAATGTAGGTATTACTTATTATATTTTGTCCCATTTTATGTTGTACCGAAAACATTTGATGTGAATTGCAAATTTTAACCTTTGAGGTTCATCCTAGGACATAAAGTTTAACGATCGCGCGTTGTTGAATACTAATTAATCATCCAAAATTGTTCGAGTACATAATCGAATTTAATGTACCGTCGCTCCGCGGCCAGTATGATCATGTATTATCCGTTTTTTGAAAATCAAGTTGATAAAATATAAAAAGATAATAATAATATTATTTGTGTGCAACGAGGTCGTGCCGAACGTCCGTGGACTATAGAAACAGGTAGCAGTGTTTATTAGGAACTTTCATTACGGACTCAGTGGTAGGAAACAATATTATGGCTGATCCAAAAGTCGAAGTCGTAATATCTGGGATCGGAGGTTGGTTTCCGGAATGCAACAACCTGGACGAACTGAAGACGTTACTGTTTGAGAAAGGCAACGGAGTCACTGAGGACAACCGTCGATGGATTGCTGGTTAGCGTTTTTTTTTTTTCGATAACGTTTAAAATGTTATTAATTATTTCAAATACTCAGAAAAATAGTTGGTCCAAATAAAATTATTACGGTTAATATAGGAACACAATACATTTCTAGTTGAAATAACTAAATAAATAGTTGGACTAACTAAATTTTTAGTTAAAGCAACTATACGTCATTTAGTTATTCCAACTAGAAATGTATTGTGTGCTTATATTAATCAGTTGGACCAACTTTTTTCGGTGTATAACTTTTAAAATGGTATTTTTTTATTAGAGTGATTGTTTAGGATTTACAAAATACGTGTACCACCGAAAAACCTTAATTTGATTAGATTTAGTCATGCGGCCATGTTAAATATTTCAAGTGGCTAATAAGTTTATAGCCGAAACCATAAAACTAAATTAAAAAACAATTATACCATGAGTATGATATTAATAAAAACCACTTTGTAGAACATTTATTTGAATTCATATAATTTTCCTTTAAATCTACTCATAGTCATAATCGCAAATAAATTACAATTTTGATATATTATAACAGTTTTGATGGTCATTTAAAAAAACATTTTTTTAACCTTACAATAAATGTACACTTTGCTCAAAATTAAAAAAGTCTGAATTTAATTGCAAACAAATTTAATACATATATGAACATGATAAATGAAACCAATTTTTTTTTTACATACCAATAATACAATGCATCAAAGCTATAATTCTTTTAATGTATTTATTTCTTAATTATAATAATAATTGAATGTGATGTTTCTTATTTTCTAAAACGCTTCTTTAGTCGTGAAAACGTAGTTTTACGTTACTACCAACATTTTTGGTACAGCTGAATAATGGTTTTGAAATATTTTATTTTTCTAAATTCAAAATGTAGTTTGAATTTTTCTTTGGAACGCGAAAAAAATTATTAAAATGTTATAGTGCTATAACAATTAGATAAATTATACATACTACATTGTTTTGTTAATTATAATAGTCTCGAAAGACTTAGAATACACTTACATCGTATTAGGTAAAATTTCTTCAACTTTATTAAAAATGTAATTTGTTATAATACAAATAATAATAAAATACTTTGCTTTTATGACATTCAACACATTTTTTACATAAAGTTTAATTTTGTATACGGAAAATTCTATTTGAAAACCCAAAATTAAAACCGGATTTATGTTACATCACTACATACGACACGGGTAAAAAATCATAAAAACCACGTTTTCACAGCTTTAAAAGCAACTTACAAAAAACTTTTCGTTCTGTGTATAATCTGCGATCAGATTCGGATTGAGCAAGAACAATCCTAAAAAATGTATATATTTCGTTTGTTGTTAAAAAAAAAAAAATAATTTGTTGAATAGTGTTATTGTTTAAATACTTAGTTTTAATGTTTAAGGTGATAATTTAACATAAAATATAACAATGATGAATTTTCTGATATTATTAAGGTTCTTTGGGAACGCCACACGCTACGGGGAAAATAAAAAATCCCGACAGGTTCGACAATGTTTTTTTTGGTATTCACCGTAAAATGACCGAGAGCTTGGACGCATTGACCAAAATCAGTCTGGAAAGATCCGTGGAAGCAATAGTCGATTCTGGTAATATCGGGTTTACATTATCAAATGATTTTTATTTAATCGACAATACTGCGTGTGATTATCGTTCTAGGCCTAAGCCCTGTTGATTTGTCTGGAACCAATACAGCGGTTTTCATGAGCTCTTGTGTAAGTGAATCGGAATTTTTCGAAGTGTTCGACACAAAGAAAAGAGGTTTTGGAATATTGGGACACAACAGAGCCATGCAAGCTAACCGTTTGTCGTATACGTTGAACTTAAATGGTGAGCTCGTTAATAAAAATAGTATACGCAGTACTGCAATAAGGAATCGATGTCCTATCCTGTAGATAGGAGCAAGTAAAAATGTTTATCATAACCATTTATTTGCGGTTCATATTTATTAATATTTGGAACCCTCAGTTAATTTTTTTTTATTAGTCACTCCACATAGTCCACTTCTAAATTGGGTTTTTAAACAATTTTATGAAAAAGGTTTTTTTTTTTTTAAACAATTTTATTTGCTCCGAAACAAGGGGATCAAATAGGCATTAATTCCCGAACTTACCCGGGTCCTTGTAATTAAAACGTTGTACTTATATTAAAGGACCGAGCTATACGACTGACTCGACGTGGATCGGAGGAGCTCAGGGGTTGATGAGAGCGAAAAAGATGATTGAAGATGGTTTAGCGAACGCGGCAATCGTGGGCACGTGCAGTCTGTGTCTGAATCCTAACATGTCTCTTCAGCTGGAAGGATTGGGTAGATTGTCACGAGAGATCGGCACCAAGTGTTTTTGCGCGGACGGTAAAATTGAGAAACAACTTTTTACTGTTCTGTTTTTTTTTAGTGAAATTAAAGAATTTCTGTGTAATTAGCAAATGGAACGAACAGAGCCGAGTCGTGCGTGGCATTTTTTTTACAAAAATCGACCGAAGCCAAACGTTCGTACGGGACCTTGTTAAACGTAACTGCAATTTGCGGTGACACCGGAAATGTGTTTACCCATTTTTCGGCGGGCTTATACGAACAAACTTTGTTGGACGCTTACAAGGCTGCCGGAGTGGATCCCGCCACCGTAAACTACGTCGAAGCCGAAGGTTCAGGAATTAAGGTATAATTGAGCATATAGTATATAGGCATTTAAATACTTGTTACAAGCGTGTGTTGTAGTTATGTCATAATATGTGTATGATTTGAACAGAAAGTCGACACGATGGAATTAAATGTTTTGGAGAAGATATTTTGCTCTTCCAAGCGTAGAGAACCGTTAAAAATCGGTTCGGTCAAAAGCAATATCGGTCATAGTGAAGCTAGTTCCAGTTTAGTTTCGTTGGCAAAAGCGCTTATAGTCTTAGACACCGGGTACATACCGCCGAATTTGAACTACACAGAGCCCGACCCAGATTATACGGCCATCACGTCTGGAAAAATAGAAGTGGTGACAGAAAAAACTGCCCTGACCGGCGACACTATTGGCGTTAGCACGTTTGGCCTTTGCAATTCATTCAGCCATTTGATTATAAAGCAAAATAAAAAAAACAAAACGAGAAAATACAAAAAAGACCAACAACCGTTCATCGACGGTTTCCCCAGACTCATCCCGCTGTCTGCGCGAAACGAAGAAGGGCTGAACGAGTTGATCCAAAAGGTAAAAAACAGTGAAGTGGACGAAGAGTATGCCGCACTGTTACAAGGAGTATTCTATAACACGATATACGCCCATCACTACAGAAGCTATACGATTTTTCCCAGCATCGACGATAAAACTCAAGAGGAAACAACAGTATGTAGAGATTATTAGCAATACAATAGGCTTGTCTATTGCATCGAAGCAACCACCTCGTCCACGTTTCTCCATTCTTCCATTCCGTACCCTATTGCTTGCTCCGCTGTAAAAAACGCAATATATTGACGCTATTTTTACGTGTATAAATGACGTATTAATGTTTCATATGATTGGTTTTCTTTATAGTACATTCCGTCGTTGACCAAGCGACCAATCTGGTTTATATTTTCTGGTATGGGTTCCCAATGGAACGGTATGGGAAAACAACTGTTAGATGTGCCGATATTCGCCGATTCGATCCGTAAATGCGAAGCCGTGTTGAAGCCAATGGGTGTCGACCTTATGGACATTTTGACCAGTGACGATCCTAAACTGTTTGATAACATTCTGAACGCTTTCGTCGGCATAGCCGCCATACAGGTTTGTTGTAAAACGTGTGTGTGTGTGGAAACAATATTATGCCATATTACAAAAACGTTTTCAAACAGATAGGTTTAGTGGACGTGCTTAAAGCTCTCGGTATCGAACCCAACGGTATTGTCGGACATTCGGTGGGCGAATTGGGATGTGCATATGCTGACGGTTGCTTCACGGCCGAACAAATGATACTCGCAGCCCACGCCAGAGGTCGAGCTTCTATCGAAACCGAACTAATTCCAGGAATGATGGCAGCAATTGGAATGGGTTACAATCAAATCAAAGACAGGTTACCGCACGACATCGAAGTCGCTTGTCACAATGCGTCCGACAGTTCAACACTATCTGGACCCACTGAGAGTGTAAACAAATTCGTGGATCAGTTGAAATCCGAAGGTGTATTTGCCAAAGTAGTAAATGTCTCCAACATCGCGTACCACAGTCGTTATATAAAACCGGCGGCTCCGACTCTACTCAAATACCTAAAAGAAGTAATGACAATCGGTGGTTATTAGGGTTTTAAAAAAAAAAGCAAAATCGATTGAAACATTAAATCTGTTTAAATAATTATAGGTGATCCCCGAATCCAAACCGCGGTCATCGAAATGGATAAGTAGTTCAATCCCCGAATCAGAATGGGGTAACGAACTTTCATTGACTAGTTCTCCTGAATATCATACAAATAATCTTCTGGGTCAAGTTTTATTTGAAGAAGCCTCTAAACACATCCCCGAAAACGCTATTACGATAGAAATCGCTCCTCATGGTCTTTTACAAGCAATTCTGAAACGTTCTTTAAAAGAAAACGTTACAAATATACCGTTAACTCATAGGAGTACAAAAGACTCGGTGAGGTTTTTATTAAACGCAGTTGGAAAGTAAGTAGATCAATTTCGATAGAATAAAGATTTTGTGGCATTGTAGCGGACTTGACGTATATTTATAGAATGTATGCAAATGGTATGACGCCCAACATTGAAGCTCTCTATCCACCAGTAAGTTACCCGGTCAGCCGAGGGACACCAGCAGTACATTCTCTTTTTCCATGGGACCACACTGAAAAGTGGGCTCTAAAGTCTATGGTGCAAGCAGTAAGTATTCATAAACGACAATAATAATTGTTACTAATGATTATAATAATTTGTGCATACAAATATGTTAAACCAAGTTTAGAGTTTCAACTCTACAAAAAAGTTTTCCAATTATATACAACACTTAATACACATTGTTTCGATAACCTAATCTCGTATCAAAACAGGCATCAACAATTTTGTTTTAGTAACCTTATACCTTTCTTTCAAAGCTGTACCCGAGGAAAAAGTAGTTATAAAAATAAATTTATATTAAAAGATTTTTTTTTTTAGGGCACAAGACTTCCAAGTGAAAGAATATTTAACGTGACTTTTAATAACGATCCAATTTTATTAGAATACAGAATAAATGGCCGACATATTATACCATATTCCAACCTTTTGGTAAAATATGCGTTTTTTTTTTCAGTTTTTTTACAAACTTAAAATAATAAACTAAATAATTTTCTAGTGGTATGTTTGGAAATCGTTTTTAATAACTAACAATGAATACAGTATTTACGATCCAATCGTATTCCAAGAATTGCATTTCTTTAAATCCGTTGAAATCACAGAAGTCGGTAAGAATAAGTCAGTTCATCATAATTAGTATTTTTTAATTTATAAAACGAATCAGCTGAACACATTTTTAAATAATAACTATAACATCTTATACTCACTAGCGATTTATAGAAAAACTATTTACACAAATTTTCAGAAAAACTTGAGTTCTATTCACTTATACATCGGGGAACGGGACACTTCGAACTTTGCCTTCAAAATGACATTATAGTTTCCGGTAGAATATTCCATCCGGATGCAATGGAAAAATCAGAAATGGATAGAAAAATGCAAAATGTAAAAGTCGTTTCTGGTAAACCTTCCAGTTCGATCGCGCATCACGATGTATACTCTTCTCTAGAACATATTGGTTATAATCTTGGTGAAAATTTCAAGAACATAACTAACATCGACTTATTTAACCGAGGTGAAGAAGTATAGAAATTACACTTTTCTGTAGCCTTAAGGAATTTTTTTTTTATTCCAATGTACCTTTATTGAATTTATAAAGGATGTCGAGCAAATATTAAATGGAAAAACGATTGGGTGTGTTTCCTGAATGCGGTTGTCTCTTTGCAAATATACCAAGACATTGACAATTGTAGTCGCCCATTAGAATGGCACACAATACGCGAATTATATATAAATCCAGAACCATTAAAGAATATGTGTGACAGAGGTATTCGAGTTTTTTTAATAAAATTTATCTACAATTTAGTCTCATTTGAAAAACAATTATTTCAGATATTTCGGTTAACTATTGTTTGAATACCAATGAATTTACTAGTGACGGATTATATATGTCACATTCTACCGTTAATGTTCTATCGCTGAATGTGTTCGAACCGGTTGAACTACGATTAGACGAGGAACAGTTCATGAAATTAAATAATCATAACATTAAAGTATTTGACTTGTGTATTATTGTGCAACGTAGAATGTGAACATTTAATTATGTTTTAGTCTGATGATGACCAGTTCATCAATAACTGTATGCAAATTATACTGGAAAAGAAAAATTACCAAGTCGGATTTAGTTTGTCCAACTTGGACGTTTACTATGCCAATAAAAATAACGACAATATATTGGTATCTTACCTGACGTCAATTAAGTCCATTTTAGATACTCATCTCTCTATTCAAGTCAGTTAACATAAAGTCGACTGATGTAATGTTATTATATATACATATATATTTTCATTCTTAGACGGTCATAACAAATATGGATAACGCAAATGTGAACACAGTATGCCAAAACATCACAAAAGGTTACAACGTGGCGTTAGTCTCAAAAAATCGCATACAAGAAGCAACCTTATGGTTGTCAAATAAAAAAAAAGCGTTTATGATAATACTTTCGGATGAGCCCCTTCAAAGCAATAAGGATTGGAGCGTCATAACTCAGCAGAAGCTGAATAATAAGTATTCAGTTTTAGTGAAAAAGGTAAAATGTGAATACGTTTGTCGTTAGAAACACGTTTGACTGAAAGTGATTTGTTTTAAATTTAGACTAAAGTAAAAACCTATGATAGCTTAGAAATAAAAAGTATTTCTGATATTAAAAATATTCAGAACGAACTGAGAGTAGTTTTAGACAAAAATCATTCTTCCAAACGAGTTCTGTACATTGTAACAAAAATTGTTCCTTTTGAAAAAATATCGAATTTTATATACGATGTAGTCCAAGGAAATCACTCGAAAAAATTACGGTGAGTGATGTTTTTCTTAAGTACACATGAATTTAAATAGTACTAACGCTACCCCGCATTATTTGTACGTCTAGGTTTGTGTTTTTGTTGGACGAATCAGCACCGACATTCGATGTGAACAATCAATTTTATAAGGAACAGCTTCAGAAAAATTTGGTCATCAACATTTATAAAAATAGAGAATGGGGCACTTTGACGAAGCATTTTATAGCCGATTCCGTCAGTGACGCTATCCCGGAAAAAAATCCTCCGTCTCAAATCGATGCGCTTTCGTAAGTGGATTAGTTTGTAAATGAAAATAATATAATAACTAACAAGAGCGTGAAATAGCATCGTAAGAATTTTAAATAGAGTTGATATGGTCCAAATATGGAAACTAAAAAAAAACGTGACACAAAACATATTACAGGGATCAATTACTATATAAAATGTATTAACAGCTATTATGTTGTACTATTTCAGACTAGAAGGGCTGAATGTGAAATGTTTGGGTATAAACTTTAAAGATATTACAATTAACAACAACGCCACTGTGAGTGATTGTATTTTATACGATAATAATTTTGTTCTAAACAACTAGGTACAATTAATGTCGTTATAATTCATATTTTATATTTAGAGCGAACTCGGATATTTAGAATATTCTGGGCTAACAAGTGAAGGAAAACGAGTAATGGGAATTGCTCCATTCGAAACCACGTCAAAACATATTTTACCAATACCAGGGTTATCATGGGAAATTCCTTCCGATTGGTCATTGGAAGACGCAGCAACAGTTCCCATTCCCTACACATTGGTAAATGTTAATTATTCCCCCTTAAATGTAGTGATCTGAATAGTGAATATAAACGAATGTTATTTTCATTATCCTGATAGGCATATTACATGCTGGCCTGCCTGAACATTAGATATCGACCGGTGTATTCAGTTTTGGTACACGCCGGTTTTCATCCTGTCGGACAAGCAGCATTAGCGATTTGCTTATCGCAGGGTTATGATGTGTACACGACTGTTGCAAACGAAGAACAAGCGTCGTTACTCAAAAAGAAATTCCCACAGGTAAGTTCCAATAAAATACCAATTGGTGGTCAACGACAGGTTCAGCTATTTGTGAAACCTATTGTCTGATCACGGTGGCTTTTATCGTTTTAAGTTACCGGAGTCGAGAATATTTAGCTACGAAGATAGTAGATTTGAAGTTGAAATTAGAATCGCTACGAAAGGCTTCGGTGTGTCGATTGTAATAAACTGTCTTAACGGCAACGAATTCCACGCGTCTGTTGATTTAATTGCGAAACATGGGAAATTTTTCCAATTGACCAAAACTGATATGAAAAATTACGAAAAAATGGGTAACGTTTGCATAGTATAAATCATCGCATATTATTATTATATTATCTGTTGAACTGTTACGTTTTCCAGGGTTAATGGTTTTCTTGAAAGTTGTTGCGTTTTACGCCATAAGTCCCGATGCCATAAGAGATGAAACTGACAAAATAAAGTTCGAACTTCAAAATAAAGTACAAAAAGGGATAAAACAAGGTGTTGTCAAACCGTTTGACCGATGTGTACTAACAGGGCCGTGCACGGGCAAAGAAGCAATAAAAACACTAAAGTATATGCGGCCCAGATTTAATCAATTCTTCTAGCTTTGGTTAATGCCTTTTTTATTTTGCTCACTGTATATGTAGATTGACGTCACAAGGACTGGAATCCAAACGTGTAGTGCTGTCGCTGGAAGGAGAAAAACTGTTGTCGAAATCCAATAAGGATGTCACACAACTAAGATATCAATGTTTCCCAAACAAGATATATTTGATCATCGGTGAATACTTTTTATGCACTATTTATTTCAATACAATGGATCTACTAATATTCGAACAACTTTGTTTACAGGAAGTAAATATAGCGCTTGGATAGATCTCGCAGAGTGGTTAGCACTTCGAGGAGCTCGCAAAATAATTGTAGCCATAAAAAAACACGCCATGTCAACAACGGTTTCGAGGAGGTAATGAAAAAAATAATTTTTAATAAAGCGATAATCTGAAAATTATTTTTTTTTTATATTCTATTTTACTCTAAACAGGTTCAATTTTATTTTATCGCGCTATAATAACATTATATTTCAAGTAGTGTCGGAGTCAAGTTTTAATTCAAAGAAGGACGTTGTTAGTTTATTAAAGGACGCTACAGCAACAAATCCTCTAGCCGGAGTGTTTTTCGCTACAATGGTAATTAATTATAGTGTAACTTTATTTCTGTATTATTAACCATTTCTACATCAATATTACATAATATATTTTTTCCTTTTGATATTTTGCGAATCAATTGAATTTCTTACAATCATCGAGTTAGTCTAGCATATTATAATTACTTAAGTATTAGTTTTGGTAGTATCATTCTAATATTTTCGCCAACGACTAGGACAGTCTAATTTTCATCGTGTCAGGTAATTAAAAAAAAATATTAGGCTTTATTGAACAATATTATGACTGAACAGTTGCAGTAATTAATATACATTGGGATCAACTAAAAATATAAATAAATACAAAAAATGATCACTTAAAAATATGTTTAATGAAAGCCAGCGCCTAAAATAAATCTAATGATGGAGGTTATAATGGAAACAGAACGGAGTTAAGGGTGGGATGGGTTAGGATTATATTTAATACTCTAAGTGGAGAGAAAGTTAAAACGAATATTTCTGTTATAAGAAAGAGAGCGGGTCAGTGAAAAAGAAGATGAGAAGAATCTCACCTAGTAGATTCATCATGTAAAGTGCAGTATGGGGAAGAATTGAGCGAGTCGGAAAAAGAGAAGGCAGATAGGATTTGAAAAAAAAAACACTAAAGCATAGTTTCGAGAATTGATTGTACATTTTAAATCCGGTGTTGTAGGTTATTAAATATTTCATAATTATTTTCGCTTAAGTCTATTTTTACAGAAACTACATAGTACTTGCGCACATTAATCGTTACAGTTATTATTATTGCTACTAATTAATAGATGGACGGAGATGAAAAATTACGCAATATTCAATATGCGTTTGAACACTTTCCATCGAAACCAGACAACAAACCTTTTCTCGTGTGCATTTTGAGTGGTGGGGCTAACATTTGTTCAGAGCTCCGAGAATCGGGTGCTTGTGCAAACGCCGTGAGTATTTCGTGGGACTCAACATCAGATTTCGAGCCCAAACTGCCGGACTTACTGTCGTCATTGGACAAAGTGCTGCTCAATTTAGACACAGTGGCCACTTCGACAATAATTTGCAGCGAAAACGATAAAAATAACATTTTAAGTAAGATGCTCGTTTGACGGTCCGAAATAATTAAATAAGAAGTGATCCGAGAAAAAAAAAATCTTTTTGTAATGCGTTTGGGGCTACACTCGTTGTTGAACCGAAGGGTGTTGTTGTACACCGTAATGTTGACCTTAAAAATAATTTCTTGCACTTAAACACGGGTCGGTGTAAATTATTAATATAAATGTTTTGGTTTAACAGTATACAGAGATGTGTATTCCAACATGACTTCGCATTTTCCCAATTCCGTCGAAGAACTCGACGGGTTCGGAGACTACATCACAGACGAGCCGGTGTTTGTGGAAGTTGCTACGAACAGTCAACGATTTGTAGATAGCCACTGCAACATGCCAATATTCATCGTTGCTGGTTTCCGGCCAGCATTCATGCGCAACCTGTATAAAAACATTAAGAATCCGACTTTCGAGGCGAGATTACCCGAACAAATCGAATCCATCGAACAAGTCGCTAGCGACTTGCTAAAGGTACACATTGGAATAATTAAAACGAAAAAAATCCATAAGACAAACCCTAGGACTTAGCTGGATCATACTATTTTTGTAACGAAATCGTTTTATTTTTAGAAACTAAAAGAAATCAGCTCTTACGGGTCAGTGTCGTTGGTCGGTATATCTTGGGGCGGTCCCGTTTGCATTTGGATGGCACAAATGTTGGAAGCAGAAAACATTTCGGTGAGCTTGACTTTGTTGGAAGGATCGCCAAATCTAATTTTCGAGTGGTCCAAGAGTTTGTTGCAAGACGGTAGCATAAATACCAAATTGGTGTCGAAATACTTCCCGCTGAAGAACACGGTAATGAACATTACACTACAGCCTCGCAGTAAAAATGATAAAAATTATCTTAAAATATAACTTGCACATGTTTGGTGTGTGGTTTGTTTAATTTTGAATTACTCGAACAACGCCGTGTCTTTCTTGCTATTACAGGAGGGCAAACAAATTAACACGGACAAGGGATGGAACACGGAGTTACCTAATGTGTTGAAATCTATTGGCGCTTCATCGGTCACTGCGAACACTTTGAAAGCCCTAAACGCGATACGTTCCAGGCTAACTGCCATTTTTAACATGCAACGACTTCCTGACAAGCTGTACGCCAACATTCAGCTCTTCAAAATATGGGACGATTCGAAAAAGACAAATATTTATAATTTACACGATGTGAGTTTAAACTTAAGCCCGTTACTAATTTACTAATAATTTTCACAGACAATTTATTATTTGTCTTCAGTGACATCGATTAAAAACTATGAAAAAATACATTTATTATTGACCAGCAAATGTGTCAGGTAGTAGGAAAAGAGCTTCTTTTAATATTAATACTTAGTTCAATGATTATACAATAAAGATACTTACCAATAAATCACTACCCGTATAATAATCATATAATAATTACCAGTTATTCAATATTTTCTTCATCCCATCTAAGCTAATAACACTTATGTTGTGTTTTTGTTTCAAGTATTGCAAGCACATACCGACATCACACGTGAGCGATCAAACGGACTTCATAAACATTCTATCAGACAAAAAGTTTGCTAGTGTTATAAATTCAAACATTTTACACTATCATCCGGACACTATCGACGTGCAAATCAGTGAAACTTACAGCCGTGCCGAATATAGTTTCGATGGTTATATTGTAACATAAATATATTTCTCTTTTATCAGGGTACATAATAAATTTAATAATTTATTGTCATTTTTTTTTTTTAATTTCAATTCAATAAACTAATGCTTTTTATTGATACTAATGGCTTATACCTCATATGTGTTTTTTTATTGTATTTTTTCCTTATACCTCATTATTTTACATCTATTCAAGTGTCTAGGGCAGAGGAAGTAAAATACATAAATAAGTAAATGCAGATTTTTAATTTTGAAATCTGTAACGTTTCAAAAACAAAAATTCTAAAAATATATAATACACATATAAAATATCCAAGATTGTTTTGAACATTTCACAATGACATAAGAATTTTCTAAGTTTGACAAAATGTATAGCATTTGTAGAAGTAGTTTTTATTTAATGTTATTTAAGACGGGTTACCGCTAAAAAAATACAAATTTAGACTGCAAAATAATAATAAATAGTAATAATAGTATCTGCTAAAAATAATAATATATATTTAACAATTTTATCGACAGTTCAGTTTTGATTAATGTGATAACTTAAAAAAGCATTATTATGTTTTTTGTTATCAAGACAACCATTTTTAAACAGTTTAAGTGTTTTGGATATGTCAAAATTGGTAGGATTTGGATGGACTGTTTTTTAGATTTCTAAAAAAATCAAGAATCAAACCTAATTTGCTCAATTTTAGGTCTGTTTTAATTTATGATTTCAGCTCGATTCTGACTCTTGATTATACATAAAAACATTAACCGTTGTAAAATTTCAATGAAATGAGTAATGTTTCATGTTCCACATAACATAACTTGTTTTGAACGCATGTTTACACAATTTTTTATCTTTATTAAATTTAACTACTATTTTGGATACATCATTTTGGCATCGATGTAAATATAGAAGGTATTGTCTTACAATATAAAGGGTTTTCATTGATTTATTTGTTTGTGTCTTTAAGACCGCTAGATTGATTTCATCATCTAGAAAGTCTATACATTAAAAATAGTACCTAAAATATACTTTAAAAGGCCAAAAAATGCAAAAAGTTTACACTTCTCCCTTCAAAAAAAAACAATTTATCTATTTTTCAACTTAAAATTACGGTATGCAATAACTTTTTGGAAAATAGTCAAATTTATTCCAAAATGTGTGGGATATTCTTTGAAGCTATAGTACTAGCTAAATATAGTTTAAAAAAAACAAGACAATATCAACCTTTTCCCAAAAAGAGTGAGAACTTCTTTATTTAACTTTTATAGGTTAAATTTTCGTACTGCAAGTACTAAAATACTAAAAAGTACTACTGCCTGAAAGTTAGACTGAATATAGATTCAGTGACCCCGAAATAAGTATACATTTTTCATAAGTATGTAGTTAAACTTTTTTTTATTAAGAAAAACCCGAAATTAAATACAGCGGGGGTCCAAAAACAATATTTTCAATATTTTTACCTTTATATTTGAATAGTTGAAATTTTTGTTAGCATTACATTTTGTTATCAAGTACAGGGTGACTGTTTTAATGTAAACCCCTTATTTTTATAACGTTTTTATGAAATCACAATCTTGTTTTTTTTGTTTAATTGCAATTTTGTATTGTTTTTGTAGTTGTTTCTTTTTTGTACTCTATTTTAAACTTGTAACTAAGATTTTGTAATAAATATAATTTATCTTTTACGGCAAAGTTCAACAAAATCAGATAAAAATATTATTTATTTATTAACTGTCGTACTTAATATAACTACTCGTATACAATTTAATTTTAGGTCATAACTTTGTTTGTTCAATAGAAGGTTTATGTCTTTAATACACAATTGAAAGTTGTTTCACTTACAATTTTTGTTTCTCGTACTTGCATCAAATAAGTGGCTTCCGAAGTCTTAATCTGAAATAATGTGTATCTAGTATTTTGTTAAAAATATTAGGTGTAATAATATTGACGTGAGGTAATATTGATTACTATGTTGACATAGCGATCGTAAACATTATTAATAAAATAGAATAATTAATTTTAACCTTTGTACACATGTGTATTGGTACGTTTTGTATAATATAATTTTGAAAAATAAAGTGTTATTAACCTTATGTTCTTTTACATTAAATATTCATGACTTGAATTTAATGAATTCCATTGTTAGACATTTACTTGCAGTGTCGTACTAACCGCCATTGACGCCTTAGAGCCATCATATTTGACGCATAACATGGCTAGACTTAATATAATTTTTTAAAAAGTTAAGATTTTACATACATTTAAATATTTACCAAAGCCGCTCGCTATGCTCCCTAAAACTCCCTATCTCAACAACACGAATAACTATATCATTTATTTTTTGTTTTACGTATAAATAATAATTATCCTTTCTTATTTACAGTATTATCAATGAACAATGAATAGTATTATATATTAATTAATGTGATAAATCTTTTTGCTGTACAAATAAATATTTTAATCAGTTTTAGATTTTCTATATCATTTCTAAATAAATAACACAAAACAAATAATAATAAATAAACAATGGATTTCATATTTTCTATGTCAGAAAAAAATCCAAATTTGTCTCATAACTTTGTATATACGAATTTTCTTTTATTGAATTTAATAATTTACGGATCTATAATATGAATAAAAGTTTTTTCTTTATTAGAAAATGTAATTTCAACATAAGGTTGTTCTAAAAAAAATGTCTAATTTTATATTTTTTTAAAAGACTTCAAAATATTTTCAATGATTCCGAGTATAATATAATGATGAATCATATAATGACACTACACATGATAAATCAATATCAATTAGTTGAAGCCTTTTCAAAGTTTTGTCAAATCTTTCTCAAGATGAACGTCCAAACAATTAAATGAAAAAGAAATCCTAATGGTTTTATTTTATTATAAAATGATTTTTCTTCGTTTTTAATGGCATTTCTTTTGATTGGTTAAATATTTAATGTGTAGGCATAAAATATCTCGTATAAAAGCAATACAAATTACATTGACCGGTATAAAAAATATTTCTTAAGCAAAGTACATCTGATAGAAAATAAAAAATGTATTCAACTTTTATTTGGCGTTGATACGGGTTTACATATAATTTTAGAGTAAGCAAAAATGTATGTTACTCGCTATGAATCTGACTTTATTAGTTCATATAAGAATAGTTAATACTTAATAGTTAATATTCCTTTTCAAATTACACTCAAGACAGTTATTTAATATGAGCCTAATTTACTATTTAAGTTAAGATTATTAATAGATATTGTAAATATAATTTATTAAGTAAGCTACTGAGCAGGGTAGCTACTGAGCACAAGGTACTAAGCAGAAAACGTACAATTAAAATTTGAAGCCTAATTTAATATAATTAAGAAATTCAATGATAATAAAAAGAGATGAAATACTATATTATAGAATGATCATTATATCGTAAACTACTCAATATCTCATAGGGTTTTATAAGAAATACAATTTTTTCTTTCATATTATTTTTGACAACGTGATCTTAAATTTTTACAACTTTTTTTTATTTTACCCACCTCCCATCTTAGTTTTTTTATAACAACTTTTGAAACTTAAATGGTGACGCATACAATTCGTTAACTTTTTAAATTAAGCATAATGTAGGTAGTAGGTACTACAAATGTTGACTGGTCGATAATCAGTTTTGAACAAGTATTTTTAAAGTTATAAGAGGTTAAAAGTTAGGATGGGAGGAAATGTGCGGTTGATTAAATTACAGTTTGTCGGTAAATATAAATTTAAAAATCATTAACCTAGTTTTCAAGTTAATGCATGCCTAAATATTTTACAATTTCGAGTAGTTTTAAATATATTTTTACGTTATACATTTATTTATTCGTACATTTAAGTGTTTGTTTTTTGTTAATAGGCATTGTGATATAGATAAAAAAAATGTCGAATGCAAAGTTTTATAAAAATAATATAAGACTGAAGGTTAAAGACGGTAATTATGCTAATGTGACTAATTAATTTAACAAGTAGACTGATGGTATACCGATATTGCTAAAACATAAATACTTAATACATAGATCAAAAACATCAAAAAGTAGTTTGACATCGGAAATATTAGTTCATCGTACTCTGCACATGATATTCGCTGTAAATTAATATTATGACAATAATTGCAGATGGCTATGAATACAATTATCATCAATTATCATAATTCATGGGAAGGTGATGGCCCTTTAATAGTGTCCGTTTCTTCAGTTACCATTGCTAAATAGTCGGTGTAGTAACAGCAAATGAATCAATGGTACTTTAACGACTTCAAAGTAATTTCTACAGAATACATAGAACACGATTTGATTAGTCTTTATTCGATTACACTACTTTCAAATGGCCGAAACAAATAAAGTTGAAGTCGTCATATCGGGTATATCTGGTGTATTTCCGAATAGCAACAGCGTGGATGAGCTAAAAGATGTACTTTTTGATAAGAAAAGTGTGATCACTTTAGACTCGAGACGTTGGCCTATAGGTGAGATTATTGTAGTAAATAATTAATAATATTCTTAACAGATAGACACTGTTTATGTTGTTGTGGCATTTACATAGGACCATAGAGTTATACTGTATGTATAATATATGTTACACTGTAATGTAATCACTTAGTACTTGTAACGTTGTGAATGACCCGTAGAACACTAATTAATATACTTTATATTATAAAAACTATTTTTCTTATGTAACTAACATATTTATAAAATGGATACCTAATCCTCTATTAAGCGCCTTATCATTATTCATAAGTAATAACAAAAACAATAATATAACATTTTTCTTTTAAAAAATCTTAAAATCTATTTCTTTTAACAGGTTTTATATATTAAATTATACATGTTCTATCTGTTTTTGAATTTATTACAAGAAATTATTATACCTACTACAGTTTAAATACGTTTATGATGTCTGTACATTAATACATTTTTTTTTTTTTTTTATTATTTCCCTCGGCGGCAAAGGCCATTGGGTTACATTAAATTATTACATTTGGGTTACATTGTGCAGAAACAGTACACCCTCATAGACAACTGCATAATTTGGTCTGGGTCATAAAACTAACAAGCCTGTTAATGGCCCCGGGTTGAGGACCGAGGGTTTCTGACAGATCCTATTAATAAATACTTAACTACATTTGTTTAAAAACAATTATATTAATTATTAAAGAAAGAAAAGTATACAAATTGTAAATATCATTATTATAATAGTAATAACATTATTAAACAATAATCATTAGCCTGTATTACCTTAGCAAATACAGAGTATTCAAGAGTAACATGGAGAATGCAATGATTTAACCTTATTATAAATGATACATGAAATATATTAATTTTTTTTTTTTAGATGAATATGGGATATTATCTGGCGTAGGTAAAGTAAACAATATCGATCGATTTGACAATGTTTTTTTCAACATGAACGGCAAACTCTGCGAGTGTTCAGAAACTGTGATCAGATTTACTTTGGAAAGAGCCGTAGAAGCAATAATCGATGCAGGTGATACTTTGATATAATATTAAAACAAAATCGTACCTTAAATATGTTTGAACTTCCAATTTGAAAATTCCCGACGATTTTTTACGTAGTTTTAATTGTAAACAAAACATAATATTATTATATGTAATAACAAAGCATTTGCTGCCTAGAATAGTATTTAGAATATGTTTTTTCAACCACTAGTTTCGACTACACAAGAGTATAAAATCCAAAACTAAATATAATAGTTGAATTTGGAGGGTGTAATTGCTTCTTAAAATATTTGTTAGGCGAGAAAAAATTGTATTTTACCACCTTAAAAGTGGAACATATACTTCAACTGCAGTATGCATAAATCATACATAATATATATTTTGTTTTTAAAATAAAACATAAATAATTCTTTTTTTTATAATAAAAATAACTTGTTTCTAGTTTTGTAACTAGCTGGATTTATAAAATATGGGTGTACATCTTGAGAGAATGTAAACAGTTTTTTTTCTTAAATCTAATTTTGTTTCGTAAGGTATCCGTTATATTAATAAACTAACTAAAATTGTATCTAGGAATAAATCCAAGCGAACTGTATGATACTAATACGGCAGTATTCGCCTGTTCTTCTGGGAGTGAAACTGATACCATTTCAATGTATGACGAAACCAGGTCAGGGTTTGCCATTCTCGGTCACAACAAAGCTATGCAAGCTAACAGGCTGTCGTATGTCTTAAACTTGAATGGTAATTAACGACTTGTAAATATGTTTGTAAATGTATGAAGATAAAAAACATAGCACAACTTGAAATTATTAGGGCCCAGTTTTACTATGTTCTCCTCTTTTGCTGGCGGAGCGGATGCACTTGTAATGGCAAAGCAAATGATTGAGAGCGGTCATATTAGAACTGCGATAATTGCTGGTTGTAATTTAGTACAACGGCCCAATATATCATTACAGTTGAAAGGATTAGGAGTCCTTACTGATGGAATGGAGACGAAATCTTTCAGCGATGACGGTATTGATTTGTAGAAAACAATAACGGTTATTGTTTTATTTGTAAAATTATATAAAAAAAAATTTACGAATTTTCCGGTGTTGTTATTTCAGCTTGTGGTTTTAACAGAGCTGAAGCTTGCGTAGCTTTGTTACTGCAAAATTCTTCAGACGCTAGACGGTCGTATGGTACGTTGTTGAGTGTGAAAATGGAACAAATAGGAAACAACACCGGAATATTCACTAATTATTCTAAAGACTACAGTAAACAAATCATAGTGGAGGCATACAAAGAAGCAAAGATTAACCCGGCTGACGTTTTGTTTGTCGAAGCTGACGGCTATGGCGTTAAGGTAATTTTACACAAAATAATCACTGAGCTACCCAATATTGAGTACATACTGATTTTACATGAACGTTTATTTCCAATGTTTAAATTAGGATGTTGATGCGTTGGAATTAGATGCATTACAAGAAGTATTCTGTACTCCGGACAGAAAGGAACCCCTTAAAATCGGATCGATAAAGAGCAATATAGGCCATACCGACGTCGCGTCTGTATTCTCTTCAATAACCAAAGCGATTATAACCATGGACGATGGCTATTTCCCACCCAACATAAACTACTCAAAACCGAATCAAGACTCAAAAGCTCTTATGTCAGGACAAATTGAGGTTTCTGCGGTTACCTATTCCACAATGGGAATAAACTAAAATAGTTAGTTCTGAGAATATTACGTCTAATATTTTTATAGGTTGTTACAGAAAAAACTCCATTTAAAGGCGATGTTGTTGGGATAAACGTGTTTGGAAGAACTGGAAATTACGGACATATCGTCTTAAAACGTCACGACAAACCAAAGAAAAGGGTTTATCAAAAGAACGAAATATTTGATGACGGATTGCCAAGACTGATTTTACTTTCTGGACGTAACGAAGAGGGCCTTAAACATAGTATAAAAACGGTATGATTTACTTTAGGTATACACTATTAGAACACGAGTTGAAACTTGTTAAATAAATGGATTTGTCCTACGCTTTTAGATGGAAAAGTATAAAATCGATGAAGAATATATTGCGTTGCTGCATAATGTGTTTTCCAAAACAATTAATGCGCATTTCTTTCGAAGTTTCTACATTTTGCCTGAGACGAAATCTAGAGAAAAGGATATTTACGTGAGCACATCTCACCTCGAAAAACTATAGTGTTAATTTATGTCAGCAATAATTCTATTTTTATCAGCCCGTGACATTGGAAAAACCCCCAGTCTGGTTTGTTTTCTCCGGAATGGGATCACAATGGTTGGGTATGGGTACTCAACTTCTAAGCATTCCAGTGTTTGCCAAAGCCATTCGAAAATGCGATGCGGTTATGCGGCCAAAAGGAATCGATATTTTTGATATTATCACCAATCTCGATTCCACCATGTTCGACAATATACTAAATTCGTTTGTGGGAATAGCCGCCATACAGGTAAACGCAAATCGATTAAAGTTTCTCGATTATCTCACGTTACTCTCGTTAATATAAAACAACCCGATGAGTTTAGATTGGTCTTGTCGATGTGTTAAATGCGATAAACATCGTGCCCGATGGTATGGTTGGCCATTCGGTCGGTGAACTCGGATGCGCCTATGCCGACGGATGCTTTACTGCCGAAGAAATGATGTTGGCCGCTTACATGAGAGGACGAGCTTCAGTGGAAACCCAGCTTCCCAGTGGGATGATGGCTGCTATAGGTCTTGGCTACCAGACGATCAAATCCAAATTGCCCAGTGACATAGACGTTGCCTGTCATAATTCAGGAGAAAGCTGCACCATCTCGGGGCCAACGAAGAGCATCATCGACTTTGTCGAACAGCTGAAGTCGCAAAATGTGTTCGCTAGATCTGTTAACGTCTCAAACATTTCGTTTCACAGTCGCTACATACAGCCAGCAGGTCCCACTTTATTTAAGTATTTGCGAAAGGTATGTGCATAATTTCCGATGAAATCCGCCGATTGGCATTAAGCAACGGCGATATATTTTTAGATCATACCAACGCCAAAACCCAGGTCGTCGAAATGGCTGAGTACTTCCATTCCGGAAGCGCAATGGGACTCGGAACTAGCGGCCACGTGCTCAGCTGAGTATCACACCAACAATCTGCTGAGTCCTGTATTGTTTGAAGAAACCTGCAAATACATACCGAAAAACGCAGTTGTCATTGAAATCGCCCCACATGGACTTTTGCAAGCAATTATTAAACGTTCTATGACAGAAGCCGTTCACATTCCGTTAACTCAGCGCGTGTTTGGAGATTCTATTTCATTTTTATTAACCGCCATTGGCAAGTAAGGAAATTAACCTTTAATTTTAATAGGATTGATCATTAATTAAAATAATTTTGTTTTTCTCAATAATTCCAAATGGCTTAAAAGTGCTATATGATTTTTGTTATTTTCCACAATGAATATCTTCTTTTTTTATTTTACGAAATGTTACCAATAGTTGATTCAGAAATTCGGACATTATACAAAACAAATTAGAATGCCTAGAATCATCTACAAAGAGTACAATTTTAGAAGTTATGACAATTTTTATTTCTGGCTATCTTGCGTTCTTAATGAAACACCAAATATATGACAAAAGCGACTTGCTGATTTCGATTAGTCTTTTATCATATCACTAAGTAATATTTCATCTTCACAACATAAATGGCATATACTTGAATAAATCATACATTCTTACTGTATGTATTTATAAATAGCTCCTTTAGACTTGCTTCAAAAAGAACAAGATATTATGGCGTTAGATAGGATTGAGCATAAAATATACTTCCATAAAACAGACTCGATATAATGACTTAATGGTTTATTTTGAATCTACCAATTCGTGTTTTTTTTTTTAAATACTAATAGCATAATATAACGTATGTCTTTTCAGAATGTACGTTCATGGTTTAAATCCTAACATCAGTGCGCTTTATAGTTCAGTTGATTTTCCAGTTTCGACTGGTACTGCGCCTTTATATACATTATGCGGATGGAACCACACAGATGAATGGAAGCCTATTGGCTTAGATGCATTGGTAAACTCAACTTTCATAGAAATATGATAAAACTTTAACACTCATTTTTTTCACTAGTTTTTTTTGTCATTAGTTGAAAAAAAATAGAGGAGAAAGATATGTATCATTAAGTCCGTCTAAAAATTCTTCGATAGAAGACTATGGAATACTTGGATGTCATATTATACCTTTTTCGACACTTCTGGTAATTATTGTTTGATAAATCGAGAAAACAAATGAAAATGTTTATAATAAATACTTATTGTTTTTTTTAGTATTACGTATGGGAGTCCTTATTAAAACTCAAGGGGCAAAAAGAGTTTACCACACCAGTTATTTTCCAAGATATCGTGGTCCATCGACATGTCATTCTGAAAAATAATCGTAAGTAACTATAAGACACCATAATTGTCTATCGCTATTTTTTACAGCTTGGAAAACACCGATGGACTAGGTCAAATTATGATAATTCCAAAATTAGATATTATTTTTTTACTGAAGTGTCATTGCTTTCATATTTAGTAAAAAAATAATTATTTACAAAAAATACTTAAGTTTGTCGTTATCAATATTTAATCTATGACTACAGATATAACATAAAATAGTGTGAACTGTTAACGTTATTCATAAGTGTACCTACACGAGTATATTTGTCAAAACCCTTTTCGTCGCCAATATGTTGTTAAATTTGTTCTCAACAATCGTAGTCGTTAATGTAGGAATTTTTAATTATGTATTAATCCATAACATAATATTGTGTTTTTCGATGGTTCTAGAACATAATGAAATTTATTCAACTATACAAGCTGGAACAGGACGGTTTGAGCTCTGCTTGGATAGCGATATAATAATAACAGGAACCGTAAAAGTTCCGATCGATTCACACGACTTAAATAAATACTCAGAAGAAACAAAAAAATCACAGCAGGGCACACCTCAAGTTTCGTATAACCATGGAGAGATATATTCAAGCTTTGATCATTTTAATTACTGTGCTGGCGATACATTTAAAAAACTAAAACAAATCAACGTATACGAAACCGAAACAGGTTTATAACATACCTATACTACAAGATCCCTCCCCTAAATAAAAACCAGCAATATAGTTGTTATAACTTTTAGAAATAGATGCCATTTTGACTTGGGATACAAACTGGTTCCATTTTCTGGACGGATTATTACAGCTGCCGACGTTATACAACATGGAAAAATACGGTGAGCTCTGCTATCCTGTGGCAGTAAACGAAGTTTTCATAAACCCAATAAAAATGAACGAGCTTAAGTGTAGTGGTAAGGCCAATTTTATAGACACTTTAAAACATTTTAAATATCTAAATGGTATATACACACCTTTTCTTTTTTTTTTTCATAGATGTACGCGTAAAATATAACGTACTTACGAATAAAGTCACTGCTCCTGGCATTGTATTTTCACTTGTAGAATGCGGGAAACTACCCTTAGAACCGTCGATTAAAAACGCGCTGCAGTTTAATGATCAGAGAGTTATCTTATTGGACCAGCCCAATTTAAAAGTATTATTTTTATCAAAGTTATGGAATTTAAACAATTTTTTCATTACAATTTTTCTCAGGACCAAAACGATTTCCTCGACGTTTCCATGGATCTCATTTTTGAGCTAACACAAGTTAGTGAATTCGGAAAAATTACCATGTATCCAATTTATGATGCAAAAGACCAGGATTTAGTGACGTATACCGAACACATTTTAAAAACCAACGTACGACACTTATATAGTCCATGACTTCTTACAATGTTAGACGTATTAATCGGTTTTTAATATATTTTATGCAAACATTATAACCTTTAGAGTTTCGGAATTCAATTGGTGCAAGTTGATACAAACGTGAAAGTGTTAACCAGCAACTCGGCCAACTCGCAGTGTTTTGCGATTACTAGAGACGAACACTTAACTAACGTCATGACACTGTTATCGAAACAAAATAACTGTCATCTAATCGTTTTATCGAAAAGTTCTTTAAACGGCAACGATGATTGGACAGTTGTAATACAACAAAGATTTGGTAGTCATTATTTGGCATTAATAAAAAAAGTAAGTACTATTGCAACATATTATGCTTCATCGCTCGACCTGTACTCTATTAATACATTTCCTTTACAGGTTATTAAAACTGGAACACAAAGTAGCTTTGTCACGTTTGAATTGAATAGTGAAAACATAAATTGTTCCGACAGTATTCAAAACTCTTTAAAAGATATTAATAATACCGAAAAACTCATTTGTATTACATCCAGAGTTATACCGCTGAATGGGACGTTGTCGTTGGTAAAACAATTGAGCTCAGTTTCAAATATCAGGTACTATAAATTTATATACCAAGTGTATACGAATACGAGTAATTCATCTAAGTATATTTTATCATCTAAATTGTATTTTTAGATTTTTCTTTGTTCTGGATAATTCGATTTCTGACTTTACTGTACAAGATCCGTTTTATGCTAAACAATTAGCGAAAGATTTGTTATTAAATATTTATTTAAATAACGAATGGTTCACATGTAAAGAAATGACTATCACTTCTTCGGTTATGCATAAACTAGCTGATACATCTATAGTCAACGACTTAGCGTATATGTCGTAAGTTTAAATTGATTTAATTATTTCAACTATATTATGTTACATATTATAGACAAAATAGCATAAGTACCAAATTAATGAAAAAATGTTATGTACAAATCTTTGTTATTCTTACATGCGTGTTCCACACCTACCGACCAAACCAACAAATTAAGTTAAAAAGTAATGGCCACTATGCTGAACCTAAAAAAACTGTATTAAGATAAGCGAATACGATTATTATTAGTTAGGCAACATTTTTAACATCTTAGCTTTTCTAATAATTGTTAGATATTATTTTTTTTATTAATATTAATAAATTCCATTATATCTACTGCCGTTTTACTGAGACTGATTAAATATAAATTGTGTAATTAATAATAGAGAAAAAAACATAACATTTTCTGGATAATTGCTTTTAATAAGTTATGACCAGGTTACTGTTTTAAATGAGAAAAAGTAATACAAAAAATAAATTCCCTATTCCAGTTTAAACAACGTCGATGTTAAGTACATCGGAATCAATTCTCAAGATTCTGATGCATGCAAATTTAACGACGAACATGATCTAGGACCTATAGAATACTCAGGATTGACCATCAACGGTACACCGGTAATGGGTATTGCTCCATATGTACCGACTCTAACTAATATCAAAGCAGATCCAATACTTTCATGGCACATTCCTAAAAGTTTGTCACTTGAAGATGCTGCAACCATTCCATTATCTTATTCGATGGTACCTTATTATTATACACGTCGTTTTTATTATACTAAAATTATTAATTTGTTATGTTGTTTTTTAAAGGCATATTACGTCTTAAAAGAAATATGCACGGTAACAAAAGATTCACGTGTACTCATTAACGCTGGAATACATCCAGCCAGTCTAGCACTTGTTGCTATATGTCTTGAAGAAAAATGCACACTGTATACTTTAGTCTCAAATTCTGAACAAGCTGCACTGCTGAAACAAAGATTTCCTTCGGTAATTAAATATTTACTCTAAATATTACTTAATTATTAATAAATTATTAAAATAGTCATAAACCAAATGTATTAATAATAGTGATCTTATTATATTTATAGGCTACTTGAGTGTAGTGTTAACTTATAACTGAAGGTATATCAGGAGATAAATAACACGGAAAAATTTAAGTTAGATTAACTAAAATTATGGTTAATATAGGGACACAATAAATTTATAGTTAGAGCAATTATGTATTTTTTTCCGCGAACCATTGTCTGTAGAATAGATTTTTTTGTAAAAATATTTAATACATTGAATATTTAATTTAGATATCTAATTCAAACATATTGTACGATAACAAAGACAATGAAATCAAAGTTCTGGTGACAACAAGTAAATTGGATATTGTAATAAACTGTCAGGACGGAGAAGATGCAAATAGATTCTTACGTCTAACAGCTCTACATGGAAAATGTGTATTTTTAACAAAAAACATGGTGTCGAGTAGAAATAAAATGGGTAAGTACAGTTGCGCAGCGACATAAAAGTTAGGTACTCCTAGTCGTAGCTGCAGTCTGGGTACTAAATTCCAATTATTTTTTAAATATTAATAATATAATACAACGTAAAAATTTACTGGAGCTTCAATTAAGTCTTAGCTATTTCAACCGCGTTAAAAAAGCGGCTTTTAACATATTTTTTTTAGAACCAAGATTGTAGTTTATTGGGAGATTCTCGCCAACGTTGTTTGCTAAGTATAATAAATTTATATAAAAAAGCTCCAATTAAATCTTAAGCTGAAATTCAGGGTAGAAAATTACTAAAAGAAAAAAACTCAGATACATAACATTATAGTAAGCTAATACGCTTGAATTAACCCGGAATAGGGTCCTACTGGAATTGCATTAGAGTATTTTGTGCTGTTGGAGGAATTGAGTAAAACTGTTACGGTTAACCGGTTGTTTTCTTAAAGTCAACTCATCAAATGATTGCAGGTCTGCGCAAGTTCTTGTCTGACATTTCGTTCTATGTAATTGGGCCAAATAGAATTATAGAGGAAAACGACCACACTAAAAAGAATATACAGAAATCAGTACAGCTGGCTTTGAACAATGGTGTTATCAAACCATTCTCTAGACAACTTTTCAAAGGAGCGTGCACTACAATACAAGCGAGAAAAAATTTAGAGTATGGGCTATGTTGTTACTTATACATAGATATTATAATGTTTTCAAACAAATAAAGTTGTTGTTTTTTGTCTTTGAAAATAGAACGTTTTCACGAGAAGCCGACTGCAAACGAGTGGTTATTTCCACGTCAAGCGCAAACAACAACAGCAACAATAACGCGAGTAACGTTAAGTTGACCGATGAATTCTATTGTTATCGGGACAAAATATACTTTGTTGTTGGTAAAAATAAACTCACATTAAGTTATTGTTTTTACCAAATTATTGTCGGGATGTGGATTAACTATCACTGTTATTAGGCAACGGAACCGACGAATGGCTAACGTTGGCTGAATGGTTGATGTTGAGAGGCGCTCTTAAAATAGTCGTGGCCTTGGACAAATGTTCTCTGACGTCCAGGACTTCGTGGAAGTTTAATATTTTATTGGACCGTTTCAATGGGGTTTCCGTGAAATTGATCACTCAGACTTCGATGAACACCACCCAAGCGTCGTTCAGCTTGTTGGACGATATAGTTGCCAAACACGAGTTGGCGGCGGTATTTTTTGTAAAAAACGTTAGTTTCGTTTCGGCAACGTCTGCCGTCTGTGTAAGCAAATTAATATTATTCAGCGTTGACCGATGATATTTCGTCCTTAGGTACCTGAAAAAATCATCGAAAACATGCAATACGCTACGGAGAAGGTATCGGCTAAGTACGAACAAAAGCCGCTGTTCGTTTGTTTGATGTGCGGCGGAGCCAAGTCCTGTGAATACTTCAGAGCCAAAGGCGTGAATTCGATGTGCTTAACGTGGGGACAGTGTGACGACAAACCGGACATCTCGAAAATACTACCGTCGCTCGACAGTCTGTTGGTCAAATCAGAGAAGCTCACGTCCGGCATAGTGGTGTGCACAAAAGACACGGACAACCAACGGAAAAGTAAATTGCCTACTTAGTATACTTAGACGATAACAACGATAGATGATACAATATGGTGTGTTCAAAGATCCATTAACAGATCAGGGGCGCGTTTGACCGTTATAGCATAATAGCCCTATTATACTAGGTCAGAACATATTCATAATTATCCAGGCGAAGAAAGTTGCCAGTTACACAATTTAAAGGTGCACATGACTGAAATTCACACACCGGATAGAGTTGTACTCTGTACCGAACACAATGAACGTTTTTAAGCCTTTACTTGGATTCAAAATGGGGTTTCACGTGGTTTATGAACAAACGATCGTATACATCAAATACATAATATCCTCTATCGAGTTTTCGTACGAGACGCCAAATCCTATCTCCGCAATTCTCTACCCGTCACCGTTATTTTTTTTCTATTCCACGAGCGCTCATGACTTCATGATACCCACCCACTTAACGTTACTTCTGAAGTCTAAATCGGGCATTGTATACCTACCTGAATATTTCGTACGGATTAAAGGCGATTAAACCGTATTTATCTGCACTGACGTGAAATCCGTCTGTTTAGGGTTTATAGCTGTAACAATATATTATAGACAATGCGTTTATAATTTTATTTTGTATAGTGACCAGTTTGTCTGGGACCGCGCACACTGCCAAACGTATCATGTTTTTGCCACAAACAACCGATGAATTGGAACGCATTTCCGAGTACATTGTGGACAAATCAGATTTCGTCGAAGTGACCACTAAGTGTACAAAGTACGGTCACGCCAAGGGCGCCTATCCGGTGTTTTTCATCCCCGGCTTCAGGCCGGTGCAATTGAACTCGTTTTACAAAAATTTGGGTTACCCAACATTCGTAGCCCGGTATCCGGAAAATATCGAGTCCATTTTGAACGTCGCTGAAACTCTAATAGAAGTAAGTACCGCTCTGACTTGCAAATAATATTCATGTTTATACAACAAAGAAAGTAAATGTAAATGCACTTTTTTTTTTATAGAAAAGTCCTACGACTATTGTGTTTTATTCAAGTGTAAAGAGTATTTATTTTATCGTTCTACACTAGTCTTACGGATAACTATAAACGATAGAAGGCATAATTTTTTTTGACCATGTTTAGGTACATATTTACACTATTAGGCGTAGACTAATTTTATTCAAAGAACACATTTTTTTATGTACATTTTGCTAAACATTACAAAAAAAAAAATTTAAGTAAAATTATGGAATATTATTATTTATTATAAAAATCAGACATTTAAATATTGCCCACTGATTTATAATATTCCTACACATTAGATCTAACGAGGATTATCACATAGCATTATCTCTTGAAGTATCCATATTTTCAAGTTTACTATCCTTGTGGAACACCATATATCTGTATAAGTTTATTTATTCACAAATTTATTATCCAATGGAAATTTGAATTTGATTGCATTGCAGAGGATCACCGAAATAACTGATCATAAATCAATCACCATAATAGGAGAGTCCTGGGGTGGTGCGGTCGCCCTATTGATGACGCAGCTGTTAGAGTCTAAAGGATTGATGGTATCTCTTACCCTTCTGGATGGCGTTCCATACGAGTTATTCGGGTCGTTTCGAAATCTGCTGTTGAACAGTAACTTCAACTCTAAACTACTCTCAAAGTTTTTGCCAACGCACGCGGTAAACATGTCGCAGATGCCCAATTGCATTTTCATCCGACTTAATGTTATGATTTTTGTATTATCTGCAGGTCGCCAACAGCGTTTCGTCGTTGCAGGAATGGAAGATGAACCTACCAAAAATATTGCAGTCGTGCAAAATTTCGTCAGCTAACAAAGTATACAAGTCATTAAATGTACTGCGATCACAGCTCAGATCATTGTTAGATCTCAAACCCCTTTCGAACAAGATCCTATCCAGGGTTAATATATTTACGTCTAACGAGCCTTCAGAATCAAACATTACCATGTTGGAAGAGGTGAGTCAAAATTGCATTTTATTTTTTTGTTAACAAAAAATTTTTTTGTCATTTCGAGACAATGCTGTTCCTCCACTGAACAGCGATTTCTAATCTTCCTTGCTCGTTTTCCCAGCTACTCGAGGACGACTTAAACGTTTTTCATAGCAATTATTAACGTATTATAAAACAATGCTATAGCAAATTATAAAACAACGACCGATAAATATAAATATATATATTTATTTTTATTTTTCAGTACTGTGCCAACGTACCAATTCTTCATGTTCATAATAATCCGGATGAACAGAATATTTTAAACAACCCGGAAATCATTGATATTATTAACGAAAATGTTGCATTTTATTACCCGTATAGCTTAAAGAAACCTTTAGATGTAGCTTATAACGACTATTACTATTATGCCGAAGTCCAATTGGTGGTATAAAATGTAATAAAATATTTAATCAATTTGCTCGTACGTTAAGAGTGTTTATTTGTTTACCTTTCCGATAAATTATGATTTTTTAATATTTAAGTACATAATCATTTTCTGTACAATATAATGGTATGAATCACAGATTCAAAACTACGGAGTTACTCTGACAATGCTCGGCCATACAATGCTCGGCTGTATAAATACAGACAATATTTAATAAATAATAATAACGAATAGAACTTAATATAAAAATGAAAAATAATGATCATATAATTATTAAATCGACGAAATATATAATTTATAAAATAAAAATATATTTTATACAACTTAATTGACATTTCTAGTATACGCTTAGTGTAAATTTGTATGGTTGGTAGCCCAGGTTACATGAATACTAATAATTATTCTAATTAGGTATATTCTAAATATATTACCAATTAACACAAAAAACCGCGTAACCCACACAACAATGAAAACAAGAACAAAGGAAGCTATTTATATTTGAAATTTAAAAGACAGTTAAAACCATTTAAGTAAAATTTATATTATTGATAAATTTGCTTTACGTTTTTCGACATGTCAGCAATATTATTTAGTGTACAATAAATTGTATAGATTTAAAAAAAAATCAGAGTATACATTAAATCAAGAAATTTGAATTGAAAGGTATTTTAATATCCGGGATCATAACACGCGATATTAACCAATTCTACTAAACAGACCATACATCCATGATGTAATATTCAATTAATTCATTAATAAGGTCATCATAACAGTTTAACACGAACTAAACAAAGAGAATAATGTAACGTTTTTTTAAACATGCAAACAACCCGCATAAGACAATAAGTGACTTAAGCGACAAAAGTAATATTATTCTTAATAAAAATAAAAAATATTGCTGTATACAAACGGCAAATGGTATAAATGATACCAAAATCACAATATCTGTATTTATACTAACATATTATACATGTTTCTACGTTTTATCATTGATTTTAGTATTTTAAACGGTTTTAAAATTGAATTAATAAAAAATAAAATAGCTTTAGTCGTAGTTGTTATAATAAAAAATTTACTATAACTATTTACATCTCTTTGTCTAATTTGTTATTAATAAAAAAAATTATATCAACTTTGATAAACTATTATAGAGTTTCTAATATCATAGAAATATTTGGTATTTCAAATAAACCACTGAACATAAGTCAAACGCAAGTTATTATTTTAATCGTTTATAAATACTATCAACAGTATAAGTAAGCTATTTTAACCTGCGAAGCAACCTTTGAAAATATCTCATTCCATGCGTTCAATGAATATTTGATTAAGGTTACTATAATAGTTACTTTAACTATGAATATTTTTACATAATTTTATAGACAAAATATTCCTAAAAAAAATTCACTCTTATCTCGTTTTAATTTGTGCTGATACCTACTCTTTAAAATTGTCCATTTAAACATCACAACTTTTTAACTTTTTCTTTACTGCAATTTAGACAGACCGCTGCAACATGACTTCAAGAAAGTACTTCATTTTACTACCATATAATATGTTCATTGGAATTCTGTCATACAGTACATGTATAGACTGGAATACAGTCTATACATTTAAAGTATAAAAACACTCTTTTTGAAATGGCAATTTTTCTGTTATAAAATTCGCTTTGACATAATACATTTTTAATATAATTTCGGAGAAATGGAAAGCGCTATTTATTAAGGAGCAAATTAAGAATGGCTGTATTTTACAAAAAGTTATCTAGTAGCTGTTTTAAGCATGCCGACTAATTTAAATGTAAAAAAAAATTAACTTTTTCTAGTTATAAAATTTAAAAGTTATCTTTCTCCGATTTATGTATCCTCTTAAGATAAGCTTTTGAAATTTGAAACATAGATTAAGCTAGAGTAGCTTAGGATACTGTAAAAATTTGAGCCCTTAATAGTAAGCCGTTTCAAAAGATGAAAATTTCAAAGTTTTCATTTTTGTTACTCACTCGCTCATCATCAAAATAATTATAAAACACTTAACACTTCCCGTATAGGAAGAAACGTAAAATTTTGCACAAAGGGAAAAATCTGAAAGTTGCAATTTTCGTAAAATTAATCACAGATTCCCGCGCCGTCGAAACAAACGTGCTTTTTCAGTGTTACAGTACGGCAATAAGCAATTGTTTGTAATTGACAGTAAATTCTTATCAAATATAATGTTTTCGTAATTTTATTTCATTTATCGGTCATCAAATACAGAATATTTTAATAATCGTAATAAAAATCATTATTTAATTAAGTCTTTATACTCTATACCTGTGGTTATCTTCGTCGGAAAATTCGTTCGTTCGTTTTAAGTACAAAAAAATATAGCAAGTGCCGCTTTTCTAAGAAAAATTGTATTAGGCAAAATCATCGAGGCGGCCGCGTGAACCAAACGCGCGGCTCTCTGTACGCAATTTTCAAAATGCTTTCACCAATGCCTGGTAAAAAATCAACACGACGCCCACGACACTGAAGCCGGCAAAAAAGAATGATATCTCCAACAAAACCTAACAGTGAAAAAGGGCCAAGTTCTAGACCCCCTCCCAAAAAAGTCAGCCAATCAAAGTAGTGGTATCTACATTGCGACTAAGTTTATTTTATGCCTCATTCAGAAAGGTCATGTTTTATTCAGAAACTGGCCAAGTGTTAAGCAATACAAAATATAAAGGAGCAGTGTTGCTTATGAAAGTAGGAGTGAAGTGAGGTTATGAACTAAAGAAATAGCAGACTTGGCCACAATGTAGATATCACTACTTTAGTAGGCTGACTATTTTGGGAGGAGGGTCTAGAACTTAGCCCTTTTTCACTGTTAGGTTTTTGTTGGAGATAATACAATTTGTAGCCTCCATAGAAAGTATGTTATACTTTGTAATAAAAAAAAATGGTTCGAAGTCAGTCAGTAGACCCTTTAGAAAGTGACTTCTTGTTTTTGTCTTTATTTGTAGAAAGTTAGGCGCTTTCCGTTCCTCTTAACAAGGTTTTCTTAAAAATTAATTGAGTTTAAATTAGATTAAAACAAGTTATTTTTATGGCAATTTTTAAATGTCATGGTTGTGCTACATACAACATGACAGTATATTATAATTTTTTCGCTAAAATAAATAAAATAATAATTTAAAAAAAAAAAAAAATTTTTACATTTCATAAAAAATACATTGGTACATTTCAAACTATAAACTGTTTTTTAACCAGTGGATGCACAACCCTCTGGTGGAATGTAGTCATTTAAAATGAAACGTAAATTGTGAAGAACTATAAGGTTGAATCAGTATATAACTTATAATGGAAGGTTACATTTCAACCACCTACTACTACAATAAAAATGTTGTGATATTGCTATATGTGACAGACTTATTGCAACTGAAAGGTCGTCTATTGAGCCAAAAAATGTAAAAAGTCAATCGAAAAAATCCAACAAATTTACTTATTTTTCGACTTGGAAATTACAATAGAACTTTTTTTTTTAAATCAGTCGCTTTATTTCCGTCGACAAACTAAAAAAATATCATTAACCTTTTTTTCCTGAAGAAATAAAACAAATTAATACAGACAGACGATCAACCCTAATCGTTTTCAGTTTTCACCCTAATAATAATAATACAATTTTAAGCTCAATGTTTCATTACAATGCTTATATCGATTTTGTATTTATAACATCTACAGATTTGCATCAAAACGTTTATTTAAAAGTGATTTTATGACTTCAGTTATTTCTATAGACCCATCTTTCGTCTCACTAAGCTCCCTCCGTCTACACACTATATATTTTTTGTTTTTACCTAACAAAAAAAATTATTATCATTCTTAGCCACAAATTTCAAAAATAAGAAAATTATTAAATCTAAAATAAATCTTCTAATTTAATTTAAACATTTTTAAATTAAAAACTCCTGAAGTTGGTTTGCGTTTTCCTCAATTAAAAAGGAACGGGCTTGTTTTTTAATTGTGATTAAATTAGTTCAAATTTAAATGAGAACTAGGTCAAATACAAATAACTATTCATTTAACACATAAAACATATAAACATAATAGTCCCCGAGTTTGAACAAATATTATTTAAATAATGACCTTTTGCATAAATTCACTTTTCATGAATTACTATAAAGCAGAGGATTTGATTGTTATTCGTTATGAGGTAAAAATACATCTTACTAACCAAATTTAAGCCTAATTCGTTCAGTTAGTAGGTGAACGCTATCACAGTGGCATATATTCCATTCCTCTCAATTTCCATTCAATATTCAAGTGCATTTTAAGCTCAACAACATTCGTATAGACGGTATGTAGTCTAATTTTATCTTCACTATTTTAATTTAACATTTGTAATAAGAGATAATTGTTTGATATCCTTTATGTTTTGGTTTTAGCCTTTAAAATCACTTTAGCTAAACAAAATATGAATTCGTTCAAAGACGAAGTTGTTATATCGGGCATAAGCGGGAAGTTTCCCGAGTGTAATGGCGCAGACGAATTTCAAGCATTATTATTCAACAAAATTAATGGTGTGACTGATGATACTAGAAGATGGAATCAGAGTAAACGAACAACTTTTTATTCCGATATTATTGATGTCTAACAATGTTTTTTTTTTAAATTACAGAAAATAGTCATACACCGACAGCAACTGGTAAAATAAAAAATATCCATGCGTTTGATTCAATATTTTTCCAAGTTCATTCAAAACTTGCTACCGTTACGGACCCTATGACAAGAATCTTAAATGAGCGAGCAGTCGAAGCAATCATCGATGCTGGCATCAGTCCTCATGATTTAAATGGAACGAACACGGCCGTATTTACGAGTACGTTTTTGAGTGAATTTGAAAATGTACTAGCAAAAGACTCTCCTTCAGCATTTTTTATGTTGGGATTTGCTAAATCAATGCAAGCCAACCGCATTTCATACACATTAAACTTAACAGGTAAACATATGAAAACAATTTATATTATTATAGGGCCAGTAAATATAACACCAAGAAATGAAACTTTGTAAAATTTGTTTTTT